CGTTTTAACGCTGTGAGTATTAGTTTTGACATCAATTCTCATCATTTTGACTTGAAACTTGTTTTACTAGTCCTATATATTATTCTAGGAATATTCATGCACTTATTATAAATTTTCTGGGATACTTCATCGGTACACACTTATACTGTGGAGCAGAACCGGTGTCTGCACTTTTCGTCAAAAAAGTGACTTTCAGTGTTATTAAGCACTTACTATAATTATTTAAGTATTCTAATAATTATTCAAGGTCAATTACAGAATTATTTCTTTAATCTCCTATTTATTTAATTAATTTCCTAAATTAACGGTGCGGGTTCTTACACAATCCATCATTCCATGGTTCAAAATACACACAAACTCAAGGATCATCATCAAACCATGACATGAATTTTTTTAAACAATATTCCTTCATGACACATCAAAACCGTGGCATACAAGGGCACAAAGGAAAGGCTCTTTGTGTTATTTTACTCAAATAGAAGCTTACATCTTCAAGGTTCCTCATTTAGCTCAAGTCTTCACCTTTTTCCACCAAAAACCCTCCTTTAACCAAGAACAATCCTTTATGAACATGCTCATGAGTTAGGCTCAAGAAGACAAGAAGAAAAAATGAGGTTTTTCATGAAACAATCAAGAGAACTTGCCCACAAATCACAAGAACCAAGCAACCAAGTGTGGTTCTTCAAGAGCGTTTAAGAACACAACTCAAACCCTTGAACATCAACAAAATCGTGGTTGTTTATGAGGTGAGGGACACGAAATATTTTGATTCATGCCATGAAAATGGAGGGGGAGTAAGTTTGATGAAGGAGATTTTATGTTTTGGAGAGGTTTTGTTGGAGGAATTATAGAGAGAAGTGATAGAGTTTTTAAAATTTGAAACTTAGAGAGAGAAGGAGGTGAGGGGCGCTGCACTAGCTGACCAGAAATGGAGGGGGTTGTGCCCTAATGAGGGGTTCCATGTCACTTAAGAGGCATTTGTCCTTTAGTGAGACCCGGAATAATTTTTATCTGAACCGTTGTCAAATTTTTACCCGGAAACCTCCAAGACTCTAACTTTAAGTACTTAAAATTAATTTTCTCTAATTATTATATTCATAAATTAAAATTTTGATTAGTAGATCACAGATACACTAACAGTTGATTAATTGCACTGTAGTCTTTACCGGTGTTCTTAACTGTGCCTGGATTTCTTAATCTTCTTAACTTTAACATTTTTGGTCTAATTATGACTTGTTAGGCATATATTGGTCTTTATTTCTATTTTCTCATCTTTTTCCCATTTCGGGATTCTACCGGCTACTGCTTCAGCAGTACAAAATACCCGGCAGAAGTGACTTTTCAAAAATACCGCAATATGGGTATCAATCTTCATCAAATCATATACTAACCTCATTCATGATGTTTATATAATTAGATTAGCTCTCTAACTATAATTTGCTAACTTGGAGCTATTCTACTGACTGTTACTACGTCAGCAGTCAAAATTAACATATAAAAATTCATCTGTGCGAAATACCCTCAATATGGGTATCAAAATTCTTAGAATTTCATCATCATTCCATTTATGACCATAAGGTCCTCATTATAACCCTATAATTCAAAACACCGTATCTTTTATTTCATTTCTTTGGAAAGAATCAAAAATAAGTTTTTGAATTATGGATACCCATATTGGTCTACCCAATGCTAGATGCAAAGGCGCATAATAGATCGATATGAACATGATGAGCTGTCCCGTAATAAACCCAATTGTTATATGGAAGGATTCGAACAAGATATAAATTCCCCTTATTCTGATATTTAATTTGTATTCACATAAGATACACATCATGAATAGATATGTTCTGGGATGGAAGGATTTGAACCTCTGAATAGCTGGACCAAAACCCGTTGCCTTACCGCTTGGCCACGCCCCATTTTTGATTTGGCACTAATAAACACTATTATTGATATTGGTTGTTCGTCAATTCTAGTTCATAAATTTCAAGAGAAATTTTTTTTGATAAGATTTTGACATGTATATTTTTATATGTATATATAGAATTCAATTCAGATATTCTATTAAAGTATTATTTCTTCTATTGTAGGTCTGATATTATTCATTTTTTAGTAGTTTTACTCATTTATGAATATGAATATTAATTCATATCTATAATTCATTTAATTCATAAAAGAATTATGTATATCTTATAAATTAATAGATAGCATAAAATAGTCGAAATCGTAATATTCTTATTAATATAAGTATTCATAACATAAATGAAATATTATAAATAATCATATTCGTATTCTATTTTTATTTTAGATATTTTTGAATATTCAAAAAAAAAATAAGAAAAAAAATTCATTAAATATCTTAATGATTTTTATTATTATAAATCGTTTTATTTATTAGAATAATTAATTATTATAATCTTAGTATAATATATATACAACTTTTCTTTTTTGAATATAAAATTTCAACTAGAAGATTATTAAAAAATAGAATATTAATAAAATAGAACAAAATTGGAATAAAACTTAGAATTTTATTACACATATTAATATTGTACGTATATTATAATTATATTATATATATACATACAATCAAATACAATAATAAAAAAAGAAAATTCAAAAAAAAAAATTATAATTATATTTTATATAATGAATTTTATTAAAGAACACAATGTTTGTTATGCTTAATATCTTTAGTTTTGACTGTATTTGTATTCACCCCGCTATTTATCCAAGTAGTTTGTTACAGGTCAACTAAACGGTATTCCTGTAGCCGTGGGGATTATGGATTTTCAATTTATGGGAGGTAGTATGGGATCCGTAGTAGGTGAGAAAATAACCCGTTTAATCGAATATGCTACCAATGAGCTTTTACCTCTTATTCTAGTATGTGCGTCCGGAGGAGCACGTATGCAAGAAGGAAGTTTGAGCTTGATGCAAATGGCTAAAATATCTTCGGCTTTATATGATTATCAAACAAATGAAAACTTATTCTATATATTGATCTTGACATCTCCTACTACAGGTGGGGTGACAGCTAGTTTTGACATGTTGGGGAAATCATTATTGCCGAACCAAGCGCTTACATTGCATTTGCGGGTAAAAGAATAATTGAACACACGTTAAATAAGGAAATACCCGAAGGTTCACAAGCAGCAAAATATTTATTCCAAAAAGGCTTATTTGATTCAATCATACCACGTAATACTTTAAAGTGGGTTCTGAGTGAGTTATTTCAGCTCCATGCTTTCTTTCCTTTGACTCAAAAGGAAAAATCAAGCATAGACTAAAATTATTTTTTTTCACAAATAAATTATGAGACAAAAAGCAAATTAGAACACACAGGAGAATTGTAAGACGATAATACTTGAAGAGTACCAAGAATAAAAAAAAGGGTGTACTATCATACATATGCTTCTTGCAGAAATAGAAAGCGAAATCAATCAATTTATTTCATTCTACATTCCTTATATTATTTATTATTTGATTCTATTTATACTCTTGATTCTTTTCTTAATCTCTTTTTTATACTTAGTATAATTATTCAATTTTACTAAGTATAAGTATATATGAATTTGATTGATTATAGATTATAGACTATCTTTATAAAAAAAAAGGAATAATCAAAAATTAATAGAAAAAAATATTAAAAAAAACAGGTACAAATATTAAATTGAGGTCCCCATTCTATGATAAACCTACCCTCCATTTTGGTGCTTTTAGTGGGCCTAGTATTTCCGGCAATTGCAATGGATTCCTTATTTCTTCATGTTAAAAAAAACAAGATTTCTTAGATACGGATAGTGGAGACAAATCTCGTATTTTTTTTTAGATCTGGAAGCAGTTCGATGATTTACTCCTAAAGGTTTACATCAAAATAATGCTAGTTGATGAAAGTTACTTCGGATAAGATAAGTAAAGTAAAATTCATTTGCTTGGGTTTTTTATTCCCCTTATTCCAATAAAGTAGAACTGGATCAAGTATGAGTTGGCGATCAAAACGTATATGGATAGAACTTATAACGGGGTCTCGAAAAACAAGCAATTTTTGTTGGGCCTTTATCCTTTTTGTAGGTTCATTGGGGTTCTTATTAGTTGGAACTTCCAATTATCTTGGTAAGAATTTTTTATCTTTATTTCCATCTCAGGAATTTTTTTTTCCACAAGGGATCGTGATGTCTTTCTATGGAATTGCGGGTCTATTTATTAGTTCTTATTTGTGGTGTACAATTTCGTGGAATGTGGGTAGTGGTTATGATCGATTCGATAGAAAAGAGGGAATAATGTGTATTTTTCGTTGGGGATTTCCTGGAAAAGTCGTCGTATTTTTCTCCGTTCCTTATCAAAGATATTCAGTCCATCAGACTCGAAGTTAAGGAGGGTATTTCTACTCGCCGTGTCCTTTATATGGAAATCATAGGACAGAGAGCCATTCCCTTGGCTCGTATTGACGAGAATTTGACTCCGCGAGAAGTGGAACAAAAACCTACAATATTAGCTTATTTTTTGCGTGTACCTATTGAAGTATTTTGAAACAAATAAAAGAACACTTTTTTAGGGAAAAACATTTATTCGAAATTTTTGTATTTTAAATTTAAAAAAAGGGCATTCTTTTATTTTGAAATTCGACTTCATTATGATAAGTGTTCTTTTGTGTATTCATGAAAAGGAGTAATTCCTTCGAATCTTAGCAATTGATATCTTATGATGAAAGGTTCTTTTTTTGTTCATTCGAATTGGCAGTGGATTCTTTCGCTTTCTTATCTTATTAGGTTTCTGTTTTCTTTCTAAATGAAAGATTATTATCATATAGGGTTTGACGAAACGAATGAGGTGAAGCTGAGTTCATTAAAGATGAAAAATGGCAAAAAAGAAAGCATTCATTCCCCTTCTATATATTACATCTATAGTCTTTTTGCCCTGGTGCATCTCTTTCATATTTACGAAAAGTCTGGAATCTTGGATTGTCAACTGGTGTAATACTAGGACTGGATTAGCGGTTAAGTAAAGATTTGAGACCAAAAGCGATTAGGGATAACCATTGAATAAGTTTCTTCGGCTTGCGTTGGGTTAAAAGCACAGAATGTATTTGCGCCATCGCCGTCTTCAAATAACGTATTTTCCATGGTATCACCATGGATAGCGCATAGAAGGGAAGCGCCCAATACACCAGCAACTCCCATCATATGAAATGGGCTATAACCGACTCCATTGAGTTCGCCACCATAAAACTCAATGGTTACACCTACTTGTTCAACACTATACTTAGATTCTGCCCTTCGAAAAGGAACATCGGCTCGAACAATTCCGTCTCCGTCTACCAAAACAACCGGAAATGTTTCAAAAAAGGTAGGCATACGACGTACAAAAAGTTCACGCCCCTCTTTATCTCGAAAAATAGGATGTCCTAACCAACCCACGGCTATTCCATCTCCATTGTCCATTGAGCCCGCTCTAAACAACCCCCCCTTTGCCGGATTATTGCCGATGTAATCATAAAAAGCTAATTTTTCAGGAATTTTAGACCAAGCTTCTGATAAACTTTGATTTTCGGCTAGCCCAGCACCAACTCTTCGATATATTTCTTGCTGGAAATATCCCTGATCCCATTGATAACGAGTGGGACCAAATAATTCAATTGGGGTGGTTGCTGAACCATACCACATAGTTCCGGCAACAACAAAAGCTGCAAAAAAGACAGCAGCGATACTGCTCGAAAGGACGGTTTCAATATTTCCCATACGCAATCCTTTGTACAGACGTTGGGGCGGGCGCACACTAAGATGGAAAAGGCCCGCTAATATACCTAATGTCCCTGCTGCAATATGATGAGAGGCTATTCCCCCCGGAACAAAGGGATCAAAACCCTCCACACCCCATGCGGGATTTACGGATTGTACCCTTCCGGTTAGTCCATAAGGGTCGGACACCCATATTCCAGGACCATACAATCCTGTTACATGAAATGCGCCGAAACCAAAACAAGCCACCCCCGCAAGAAATAAATGAATTCCAAAGATTTTGGGTAAATCCAAAGAAGGTTTTCCAGTACGTTCATCACAAAATATTTCTAGATCCCAATAGACCCAATGCCAGATAGCTGCCAAAAAGCACAAACCTGAAAAGACAATATGTGCTCCGGCCACACCTTCGTAACTCCAAATACCCGGATTGGTTATAGCCCCCCCTGTGATGTTCCAACCGCCCCATGAATTAGTTATTCCTAAACGAGTCATAAAGGGTATAACGAACATACCCTGTCGCCACATTGGATCAAGAACAGGGTCAGAGGGATCAAAAACTGCTAATTCATATAGAGCCATCGAACCGGCCCAACCAGCAACCAGAGCTGTATGCATTATATGAACAGAAAGTAAACGGCCGGGATCATTTAATACAACGGTATGAACACGATACCAAGGCAAACCCATGAAAATACCTCTTATATCAACAAAAAATAGACACTATGTAACTTTATTGCACTGGAAAATACTATATTATATTATGGACTATGACCCCAGACCCCACCCTTTTTTTTTCAGTGGATTATATGAGGAAAAGGTTTCATATTTGTTCTAGTTTTTTAGTAATAACGGAACAATTATATCTGCAGAAACAAAAAGAAGCAGATCTATTATATACCCAATAAGTAACAATACGCAATGGTGGAGGGGGGGAGGGGGGTTGACCCTATTTTATATGAGTGTTTATATATAATGTTTATATGAGTGGATGCAGACATACTTTTTTATCGCATCGCTCGAAGGACCTACTCCGAATAACTTTCCTTTGCTCATTTAGTATTCCTTTTTTCTTTATGATTTCTAATCTAAATAAAATAGGAGAAAGACAACTCTTTGTTAAGACAAGAAACTCATCCTTACGTTTCCACACCAAAGTGAGATTTATGGCTTCATTCTTTTAGCCAGTTTATGCCCATTGGTGTTCCAAAAGTGCCCTTTCGAAGTCCTGGAGAGGAGGATGCATCTTGGGTTGACATATAGTGCGACTTGTCAGATATATTGGGTCATATGGGATTTCCCCGTTCTCTCCCCCGATTGAGATATCCTCCCTTTCACCCCAGATTGATTGAATCCTCAAAAATTTGGAGCGTGAAGTGTAATTAGATCGATTTTTTTATTTTTTTTTTTGGGGGGGGTATCCAGATTATTATTATATATATTATGTTTATTATATAAATTTAAAATAATTTATGGTTGGTTTGGTTAAACCAATCAAATGAAGCACCTAGGCTCTGTTTAAAAAAAAAAAAAACCAATTGGTAATATGTCTATGATTACTACTTTTATTATCTGTCATATATTTGGAAGAAAATATGAAATACAAAATTCAGAAAAAGAAAGAAGTAGGAACAAAAAAACGCGGTATTGCAGTATTTGTCCTATATGTGCAAATAAAAATCGGGCGTATCTTTACTCAGAGTAGAAAATCAACCTAAAAGAATTTAGCAAGCCCATTCAGAAACAAGAAAATGACATTGCGATTTGGGTTTGATCTCGACGAAAACAATACATCAATGAGAAGTTCGTTCAATAAGTTTAGTCCATTTTTTTTTTCTATTATAATAGAGGATAGGTTTATATAGATATAATCTAACTAATATATATAATAACTAATACTAATTAAAGGCGTCCAAAGTTGATTTTTCTTGAAATAAAAATGTAAGAAAATAGACCTTTCTTTTGAAGTTCGAAAAAGTCCATTTTTGATTATCAATATGAAAAAGGGTTGAAATCGACACATTGATTCCTTTTTGCGATTTTTGGTGAACCGTATGCATCAAAAGGTGCATGTACGGCTCTTAATGGATCCAATTTGATCTGAATCAATCGACTTTATCGAGAAAGACTACTTTTTTTAGGCCAGGAGGTTGATAGTGAAATATCGAATCAAATTATTGGCCTTATAGTCTATCTCAGTATAGAGGACGATAACAAAGATTTGTACCTGTTTATAAATTCTCCGGGCGGATGGGTAATACCCGGAATAGCTATTTTTGATACTATGCAATTTGTACAACCAGATGTACAGACAGTATGCATGGGATTAGCCGCTTCAATGGGATCTTTTATTTTGGCAGGAGGAGAAATTACCAAACGTTTAGCATTCCCTCACGCTTGGCGCCAATTAGTAACCCGCACCGTAATTATGCTTAAATAATTATATAAAGTAATTAATGATGTTGAAAGTTATTTTTCTGACGAAAAGTGCAACTGGCTATAAATACAACTTTTGCACACAACCCTAGGCTAATACTCAGCCATTTCTACGTGGGTTGCTTCTTGTGGCTGCTGCCATTGTCTTCCTCCACCATTTCTTGACCTTACAAGGGATTTTTCTTCATACTTCCTTCACCAAACATCTTTGTGTGAGTGAGATAAAGCATTAAGAGTGGGTGGGAGACCTTGTTGCTGAATTTTGGCTTCTGTTTTGAGGATTCTTGTTGCTGAGTTTGGTGTTTGGGTTGAGAGTCACCATTGTGGTGACATTTTGAGCTTCAAAAAGCTACCTTTGAAGAGAATGAACCATTGTGGTGTGCCATTTTTGTGCACCTTCAAAGTCAGAACCTTTGGAACTGATTGGTGAGCTCCAAGAGCCGTTGTACCTCTATTTTGAGCTAGGGTAAGCTTCACCACCTTTGATCATGAGTTTTAGTTATGTAAAAGTTGGGTCTTGGCATGTTAATCAGTGAAACAAGTAACCAACCAGAACATGAACCTAAAAGGGTATAAAAATGCATGCTTGGACGTAGTAATGGGTTAAAAACCCAACCTTGAAAGTGATATCTCGCGAAATGCAGAAACTGCATTCTGTCGCGAAATATCCGGATATGGGGTCTTGAGATATCCGAATATGGATATCCGGATATACATATTCGGATATGTTATCCAGATATGGATATCCGGATATGGCCCTGACATATATCTGGATATTCTGGGTTTTCGAGAACAGTAACGGTACTGTTCATACATAATGACATTTTGGATTTGTGGACCCATGTTTGGTCAATGTGGACTCCTGAAATAATTAATATAAGTCAGAATCTAAGGGATTAAGGGCTTAAGGCTTTGTGAGAAGCCTAAAGACATGACACGTAAAGGAAACGCGTTGTCTTTATGTCTTATGCTTGTAGAGTATAAATATTGATATGATTGTCGGTCTAAAACAGGTTGTGATCTTGTTGTTTGTGGACTTTGAGCTTGTGTGGCCTCTTGGCTTAGATAGTTAGCTTGCAAAGTAAGCTTTCGTGTCCTCGGTTTAGCCATTGTTGGTTCCACCATATCCCATGAGGGGATGGTTTATATGCATGATATGTTTTCATGTATTGTTTTATTGAAATGCTATTGAGCTGATAAGTACAAATGCCTTATGATATGTATGTGGTGTTTGCCTAGACGGGATGTGATCCTGTGGGCAGGTACGCCATGGGCGCGTACTGTGTGGGTAGTAGACGTATTCCTGCATTTCTCTGGCCAATAGATTAGTTATAACACACATGGCATGATTATCTGCTGCATTGCACTGGTTTTGGAACTTATACTGTTAAACTGCCTTTGGAACTTATATTGCACATGTAAGTGAGGTTGGGGTGGAAGATCCTTGAGGACCCTTTGTCTTACTGAGATTTCTGTTTAGAGATCTCACCCCACATTTGGGGCACCATTTCAGGTTCAGGTAATGCGGGGGTTGAGACCTCTAGCGGCAGGAGGCCGGAGCTTAGCTGATATTTCTGCTTTTATGATGATATGCTTGGATGTTGATCTATCTTGCATTTATTATCGTGTTTTTGGATTTGAGACTGCTGTTGGGCCTTGTTGCCTTATTTGGTGAGCATGGGGGTTGTCCATGCCACATTGATTTCTGTTATGTTTGAGTTTATCTGAATTGTATAATGTATCAGGATATTGTCCGGACTACGTGTTGTAGATTCGTGACTTAGATACTCACTTGTTTATATTATTAGGTTATTCAGCGTAGATAGTTGTTTACTTGCATTTACATACAGGCAATTTTTTTAAAAGGATTGATTAATCTACTTGGTAATATTAATGACGTCATAATTGAAAAGAAAAAGATATTCTGCAATTTTTAATTAAGCGTGGCTTAATACGATGGCATGATAACAAACCGGGTATACACGGGATGTTACATTTTATGGTATCATAGCACTTTCTAGGAAAAAGCTTGTATGTATTGCAATAACTTAGGATGTTTTGTTGCGAGTCTGTCTTGTGTATTTCCTCTGATGGGTCTTGCTATGATGATGCATGTTTGACCACATTGTGTAGACTGATCAACTCATTCTTTGTGTAACTTGTGCAGAGTCATGGTAATGCCTAGGAGAAACCGCGAGACCACTGAGGATCAGCCAGATCCTGTCCTGACTGCATTAGCTGAGATGCAGGCGGCTAGACTAGCAGTTGGCGAGAGCTGCTCGGGAATATTTTTTCAGAGAGCAAGAGTGTAGAGTAGTAATCAGGATTGCCAATAGGAGCAATCTATTCTGACTAAGAGCAACCCTCTTCAACTATACGCAAGCGTACGTGTCAAGCAATATAGGGTATTGTAGCCCCAGATTTATCGTCCTCAGGGAGCAGTTGTGAAGTAAGAAGCGCTAAAGAAAACTTAATTTGTAAAATGGAGCAATAAAAGAAATTATTATTCTCAGCTAAGCTTCACAAAGAGCAATCTCTGGGCAGCTAGTTAAACAATGTTAACCATTCTGAACTAGATGAGAGCAGTGAATGACTTAGCACGGTCATCGAATAAAAAGGCATCAGTTGAAGGAACTTTAAGAGCAGTCAACGAAATGAAAGTAAGAGCATCAGCTGGTAAAACACAGTTCAGTTATCGTGAGGAAAATGTTGTGATAGAAGTTGAGTTAAGATTAATTTCAGAAAAAAAATCAAGTAGGTGTTATGGGTTCCATGTTTTCATCCCTTTGGTTAACCCTGCTTGGTAGCATATTTTACAAGTGGATTTTGCTCCTTCCCTTGTTTTTCTATAGGTAAGCAGAGGGTAAGGCCTTACTCTCCACGTTACTCCATAGTACTTGGAGTTATATGCAAGGAAACCATGCTGCCTTCTCAAAAGAGCATGGATTCACATGGCAGTGTTCCCCATTCTAGGTGTTTCTCCCTCCTTTCTTCATGCTAAACTACCCCAGGATTTTGAGAATGCTCCACACGCCTTTGTCAGTGTTTCATCAACCGAGTGGTCCCGGGATGAGGTTGCCAGCCCAGAGGGTTTCACAAAATCAATAAATTAAACCAAAGAGCAACTCAAAATTCATTTATAAAATATGTGTTCCTTACAAAGCTATCCTAAGACAAAAGGGATTACTTCTATGGAACCCTCACCTACTTAGAGGAAGTTAGCTCCTAGTGAGCATTTTTACAAAAAGAAAACAAAGAGATAACGAGTCCTAGGATGGGTGCTGATGATTCTCTTTATGAGGATTGCTTGTTCCTTTTATAGGGTTCTTCATTTGATCTCCATTGTTCCTTTCATCAAGGGTCGTGCTTTGTCTAAATTCTCTCCAATGGTAGCTTTGCTTCTTGCCAGCTTGGCCTTAAATGGAAGTGGTCCCCCTTGCTTTTGGCTCCCTTTGTGAGTAGGAGTATCGGATTCAGGGAGGCACCTCCACTCCTTCTGCTGCAGCTGACGTGGCTGCTTTTGATTGCTCAGCTTCCTTGCTTCCGTACTGTAGCAGAGGTAGCACCTCCACCTTCTCTGTTGTGGCTGACGTGGTGGCTTCCCATTGCTTCCTTTGACTGCTGTTGTACTACAGTAGGTTTTTTTTTCCTTTCTGCGCAACCCTCCTTCTTCTCTCTTCATTTTGTGGTTCCTTCTGATGGGCCTGAGGTGTCCTGAACAAAGCAAACCAACCCGATAGTCATATGAAAAAGATAATGTTAAATTTGCTCCAAGTCTACCTTAATTCCCACTTTCGGTATTGCTCTGGTCCACTATTCAAAACAGTTGCTCTATATGGAAAGAAGAAGGTTGAGGGGAGTGATTTATAACCAAACATGGGTTTTGTAGAACAATTTACACTTAATGGGCCACAACTTTTAAGGACCATCACTAGCCGATCAGGAGGCCGCTAGATTGGCCAACTTGGCAATGATAGACGTCATTCGAGAGGCGAACCGAAAGGCCACGAAAAATGTTCTTGAGGCAAACAGGCAGGTGAAGATGACCAGGATGAGGGTTATATTGGAGGAAATGCGGGCTGGCCGCACTGAGGGTCAGTTCCCACCGCCACCACCTCCACAGCCACCGCCTCCACCTAGTCTTCAGGACGAAAGCTTGAGTCATGTTGAGGGTGTCACTCCTCTTACTGGGTGATGGAACCCTACTTGGAGCCTGTCGAGGATCGTGACGTGATAGACTGCCGGCTTAATGCTTTTCGCAAGCATAAGCCACCTTCCTTTGATGGATCGTATGATCCTATTGCTGCTGCGAGATGGCTACAGGCGTTGGAGAAGATCTTTCGGGAAATGCAGTGTACCGACCCGCAGAAGTTGATGTTCGCCACATATATGCTGAAAGGCGATGCACATGAGTGGTGGATGAACACCTCTCACGCCTATGAGATGCAGGATCATGTGATGACATGGCCATTCTTCGAGGACTACTTTTTGGGCAGATACTTCCATTATAATGCGCAGGAGAGGAAGCAAGGGGAATTTGACAGATTGGTGCAGGGCTCGTTGTCTATTAACGAGTACCTGGCGAAGTTTAATGAGCTGGTAATGTTTGCGCACCTTCGGATGGCTATGCCTACTGAGTATACACGGATGGCATGATAACAAACCGGGTATACACGGATGGTTACACTATGCCTACGCCATAAGAAAATTAAGTAATAATAGCATGACACTTTGAGTTCGATATAGAATTTTTTAAACATTCGATTATATATCGAAAGAGTAGTATGAAAAAGGGGGTATTTACGATTTTCTCTGATCTATCATGAGCCTATTTCGGTGTCACAAACTTTTTTGTTTTCAGTTTTCACACCGCAAAACTTCTAACAAGATTTATGTTATGAAAAATTATGAAAAAAAATAATAGTTTTTTTTATAACTAAATGAAAAAAAAAAAAAGAAACTTTTGGATTGCTGGATAATAGACGAGACAAGATAAGAAAGCAACGGAAGAAAAAAAAAACAACATATTTTTTTAAATCAACAACAATAGTATATTTAGATATATATATATATATATATATATATATATATATATATATATATATATATATATATATATATATATATTGGATAAATATTTAGATAATATATTGCAACACATTAACCTCAATAATTACCCAAACAAAGAAGCAACCAATCTTCTTCTAATAGCATATTGCCAAAAATAACACTTTTTTTTCAATCAATAAAATTAAACCAAATTTGGTGTATATCATAACTGAAAGCAATAAACTAGAAAGTATAAATTTGCACAATGTATTGCTCACAATTGCACAACAGAGACTAGATCGATAAGAAACTTTGTTTCAAAGTTCAACTCCATCGAACCCCATCATGAAGGCGTGGTTCTTTTGCTTTCTTCTTCTTAGCATGGTTATGTTCAACCAAGGCGTATTTGGTGGTGAAAATCCATATAAAGAAGCTCGTGAGAAAAATGTGCCACGTCCAACACCCCCGGTTGAACATGTCCCAGCTAACCCTTACACCCGTGGCTGCTCCAAAATATTTCGATGTCGTGGACGTTGAAGATGATGCCTAAAAAATGTATATGAATACTATTACCGGATGGTGTTACATTACCAATTTCAATGTTAATTTATTTTCTTTCATGTATTCTTAATTTCTTACCGTCAGATAAACCCTTGTTCAGACCTGTGGCATGCCCTGGCATTGGAATGGGGTACCCAGCTCTTCTTGTCCTTAACTTTTATATGCACACACACACACAAAAAAAGTATTTTTCTGAATGAATTGAATGAAGGATTTGTCACTTTCAAAGGTATGTCTGCTTGAAGGATGCTACAGAAGCTTAAACATAAAATTTGCAAAGTGGTAGAATGTTGAGGTAAATGTGTGGTATCCATAAAGTTATTTTAAACGAAAAAGGGGCGGTTTTACTTACTACTGAAAATTTTTACTACTAAGTTAATTACCGTTGATTTCCGTCAATCTAACAGTTATAATTTATTATGAATTAATAATTAATTAATAAATGTATTCAGTAAATTATAAACATTAGATTGACAAAAATCAACCGTGCTTAGTTTAGTAGTAAAAGTTGTAAAACTTTTTAGTGGTAAATATAACATCTCCCTATTTTGTTATATATTTGATGGCTTTTTATATTTTTTTTACTCCACAAAATTAAAAGAGAAAAAAATAAAACTATTTTGAAAAAAAGAGAATGTAAAAATTCAATAAATATGCATCAAAATATGATCGTTCCATTTAAAATATTGTCTTTTTTAAAATAATAAATATTTTTCAAAAAATGGAAAAAAGAAGAAGATGATATCTTCTCAATGGTTTTTATGAGATCAGGGTTATGATAATACCAAATACACTTTGTCCAAAATTTGGTTTGAAAAGATGATGACAAATAGTGAGAAAATTAAATTACAAAATGGGTGATGAGAGAATTCAAGCACGATACAAATGATTAGAAAAGAGATTAATCCTGATCTACTATTCGTGCGAAACTATTTTACATTATTAGAAACTCTGCTAGGAATCATGTACTCTTTTAATGATATGGCCAAAAATAATTGGATGACAGCGTATAAAAAGTCTAATTCTACATTATTTTTTTGGGTACATTTTTAGATTTGACTTATCAAAATTTGCTATTTATAAGATATAAAATTGTGTCATTTTAAATAAGATAAATAAATAAATCATGAAAGAAAGAGTGAAGGAAAAAAGTTTTAAAAATGTGAGTCTCACATTTTTTGTGAAAATGAAAGGATATTAGATATGTCATTTAAAATGACACATCTTTTGCCCTTTATATTATCATATAAGGGGGTGTAAGGATACCAAAAAAAAAAACTTTAAGGAGGTGTTTGGTTGGAGGATTTTGATGAAAAAGATAGGTAAATATGAAATGGGATTATAAGGTTACTATGTTTGGTTGAAGGATTTTCAAAATTTGGCTACATAAATCATTATGCTATGAAACTGATATGCATATCTATTTTTATGCAAATAGCCGGCGAAAATTTCTCTATGGCAGTATGGTATTGATGAAAAGCTTGCTATTTGCTCACTATGCATACTAACCAAAAGACAAGCATACCCTCAGTTTAAGCGCGCGAAAGGAAAAGAAAAAAGCAGCCGCCATTTTAAGCCTGTGGATTTGTCACAACCACCAGGGCAAGAAAATCTTGTGACTTGGGTTCGTCCACTTCTTACAAGTAAGGAGGGTTTACAGATGATCATAGACCCGGTTGTAAAGCCCCACATTTCTGTTGATACCATGGTTGTTAAACTCGCGCGTTTACTCGTGAAATCAGACGAGTTTACGCTTCAGCAACAGTGTTACGAGTCACGTTCTTCGATTACTCGCTTTTGGTCCTCAAATGGCAGAAACGTCGAGTTTCTTGACAAACTCGTATAATCGTACGAGTTAAACGTTATCATCAGGAAAAAAACCCATTACCCGAATATTTGACTCGGAAAGGAGTGAGTATAAATGGGTTTCTTTAGCTAAAAAAAAAAACTAGATCCTGAGCCACCATCGTGGGAGAGAAACTCGCGACTGACGAAGACCTTCAAGCCACCGTCTTCTCCGCGTGAGTGAAGCTTCTCTGCGTTCTTTGAGAAACCGTCTTCTGCTTCGCCATCGTGCTTCAAGCCACCGCCATCGGTCGTCCCTCACCACCGGTTAGTGCTCTCTGGTCTACGTCTGCCTCTGTCTGGATCTCTTCTTTGTTTTGTTTTTTTTATGTCTCATAGCCTCTGTCTCATCTCATCTCTTCTACCGTCTTTGTTTTACTTTTTTTTTTATAAATTATTTTATTTTATAAAACAAAATCAGTTTATTTTATTTATAAAACAAAATCATTTTTTTATTTTATAAAACAAAATCATTATATTTTATTTTATAAAACAAAATCATTATATTTTATTTTATAAAAAAAAATAAGTTTATTTTATTTTATAAAACAAAATCAGTTTATTTTATTTTATAAAACAAAATCAGTTTTTTTATTTTATTTGATAAACCGTAAACTAAACTAAACCAAATCAGATTTGTTTTTTTTTTTTTTTGAGTATCCAAACCAAATCAGATTTATTTGAAAAAACAAATTAATTTTTTTTTCACTTGAATTGCCTCGGTTTGATTTTATATTCAAAGGAAAAAATAAAATTAATTGTATTAAAATTAGTCTAAGTTAATTTCACTTGAATTGTGGTAAGTTTTTTTTGTCCTCTTAATTTTTGCTTGACGCTGGTTCAATTAAATTAAAAATTTTGTTTTTTATAGTTAAAATTTTAAATCACTACCTATTACTTGCTAATTGCTATATATTCATTGGGTTTGTATTTGTTTAGGTCCATACCAAGAAAAGAAATCGCTTGAAACAGAAGAAAATGAAATGATCTTGTACATGTGATGGCCAATTTAAAATTGGCCAAGAAGAGGGAGCGCAAAAAAAGTGTTGGGCAAGAGCATGAATTTTATAGCATAGATGATCTTTCATCTGATGATGAATGGATTGTGAAAAACGAGGGAAGTCCATCCAACATTGAAGATATAGATGATTTGGATATTCCTGAATTTAACTTAGATGCTACAGATGAAGATGCTTTGATGGTACCTGGAGATGATGGTGGTTCTGAACTTGGTGGGGAAAGTGGAGAAGACATCATGCAACATTGTTTTGGTGATGAAGATGAAGATGAAGATGATGATGAAGGAAATAATGAAGATGGTGATGAAGATGATGGGACGGAGGATGATTATGACATTCCTTCATTCCATCTCAATTGATTGATATATTGTTTTGGATTTGAATGTTGTGTGCTATGACTTTATGTGTTTGAGACATTATGTGATTATGACTATTGTATGACATTATTCTGCTGGTTGGTTGAATTAAATTTACTTATTATATTACTTTATATGCATAGAAATATATATAAATATAATTTGTATCTTGTGTTACGAGTCTACGATCCGTGTTACGATTCTACGATTTACGATTTTGGTTCACCCTTCCGAGTTTGCATAGAATCTCGAGTTTGACAACCATGGTTGATACTGTGGTAAAAGTTGCAGCAATTGCATCCATGTGTGTGCAACCAAAAGTGTCTCAACCAAAAGTGTCTCAACGTCCTTTCATGGGTGAAGTTGTTCAGGCTTTGAAGCTGGTATGCAGTGAGTTTGAGGAAACAAGGATTTTTCAAGAAGAGGGTCTTCTTGTAACTGATGTGGAAGGGAAGTTTTCTGGAGTTTCAGGTGAGGGAGTGGACTTTTTGGAGGATCAAAAAACCCTATCTGGATATCAATCTGGTGAAGAAAAGGTAGCATTATCAGCTTCAGAGCTTCTCAGTAATTCAGGCCAGGAATTTGAGTCATTCAGGAGGTATTCTACTTCAGGGCCTCTAACTACTTGGGAAGAAAAGGCAATTCTGGCAGAAGTTGAGAAATATCAGGATATTTTACAAACCGGATTATTTTCGTAATATCAAATTGTTTTTTCATCTATATTTTTCCTACAACCAAACATAGATTTCATAAAAATTACCTAATCTCTCAGGTAAATTTTTTCCCAACCAAACAACTTTTTTTTACATTTTTTTACCTATCTCGCTTTCCAACCATTTCCCTATGTAAAACATTTTCTTATTATTCATAAAATTTCTCCTCAACCAAACCTTCCCTAATTATAATCAGATGTCATTCTAATGATTACCAGTTTATCAGTGCTGATGCCTCTCCATATCCATTACAGCATATTTACTTTTTACGAGTTTATTATCATGGTACGTGATTAGTTATTATTAGTATGGCTGTCAATTCGTTGGTTTTACTCATTTTATTTTAGAATAATTATCGTTTACAATTTTACATAAAAATTAATAAAGTTCTTAAATTATATTTGTAAAAATATAATTTCTATTAAATTATTATTTGAATATATTAATATTAAATTTCATAGTATTTATAGTAAAAGATTAAAATTAAAATTTAAAAATTAATTAATAAGACAATATTTTAAAAATTAATTAATAAGACAAGTAAAACTTATAAAATTAAAATTATTTAAAAAAATTGAGTTATAACATAAAACTTAAACTTAAAAATAAATTTTACATCAATTATTTTAATTATTGATTCCACTTATATTTAATACTATTAATCTATTACTTTTATAGGTTACATTAAAATTTTATTATTTATATGAGGGAGAAATTAGACTTACAATATCTTTTACCTTACAATATTTTTACAATCATTTATTATTATTGGAATGAAATTAAATTAATGATTTTTATTTAATATTATTTTATATCTGTTGATTTGATTTTAATTTAATGATAACAAAAATAATTATAACATCTAAATATTATCTCCCTTTCATGGGAATGATCAAACGAGGAAAATCAGCCCGTAAAATTTAGTGGGAAATTTTTATTCTTACATATCGATCTTACGTTATATATATTTTTCTTTTAAATTTACTTTAAATTCAAGTTATTCATTAGTAAAAATAAATGAAAGTAAACTACCACAAATAATGCTTACCAAAAAAAAAAACTACCACAAATAAATAATTAAAAAAAATATAATGAAAGTAGGGAAAGATTATACTTACTACATATTTTTGTTATTATCTTTTACTACCAAATCTCAATTGTTGATTTTCGTCAATCTAACGGTTGTAATTTATTGCAAATTAATAATTAATTAACAAGTATGACCCCATAAATTACAACCGTTAGATTAACAAAAACCAATGGTTAAGATTTGGTAGTAACATGTATTAAGAAAAAGAGGTAGTAAGTATAACCTCTCTCATAAAGTATATAAACTTAGGAGAAAATTTGTGTCCTTGCGTGTTTTCTTAAAATAAAATTATGGTATTTTATTATGGAAAAATGTGTATTCTTTTAAGGACCATCTAATCTCATGTTGCAGGAAATACTCTCTCTTATATTATAGATCCAACATATAGTGGATCCCACCATGTATTAAAAAAAATGATATATTTATCGATGTATTTATAACATAAGATAACTCTTTCTTATTACATGAAAAAATAATTCTTTTTTTAAAGTATATAAAATTATATCCTTTGATAGCTGGGTTCCTTAAGCATGTTGACAGGGGGTTCGATTACTGGTCGTGTGTATAGAAAATGCTTTGTTAGGAGAGGTTTACCCACTTAATATGATCTCCCGTTTCGAAAGGATTAGTCTTCGGTTGCCGGCTAGAGGATAACTTGAGAAACCAAAAAAAAAAAAAATATATATCCTTTTAAAAAAAGAAAAAAATAATCTTGAGGGAGTAGAATTTTTATTTATTTATTTTTTCTCTCAAGGATACATATTTTTCTTTTTTTTGGAGTTACCCAACCCTAATTATCTCTTTTGAGACGAGTTGGCTTCTTCCGGTATCCCCACGAGCTTCGACTCTTTGAGCCAGCTATGAGACTAATCCTGAGTGCGGGGAAACAGTGATGGCTAAAGAATCAGCCCCCTCCCCAAGAATGCATTCAGCGGAAATCGAACACATATCCAACCCCATCATCTATCTTTTTCTCTCAAGGATACATATTTTTCTCATTTTATAACCATATTTATCGAGGGCTTTGTTTTTCTTTTGTTCCAGAAAGAAATTTTTTTTTTCTGCAATAGCTGCATGCAAAAAAAAATTAATAAAGAAAGCGGAGAGAGAGACTTTGGGGTAGTTCTTTTTTGTCTGTAGTGGTCGCAGGAAAATGTTTTCTTTCTCATTTATCAAACCCTTTTCCCATAAACCTAATCCAATTCAGTGTGACTGCAAAACTATTCTTTCGCCATGTCCACCTTACTTCACTCTGCTTCCTCTTCTCTCTCTCACATCACTCGTCATTTCGCTCCTTCTCCTCGGATCTCACTCCGAAACGGCGTCGTAAGTCACCATTTCTCTTTCTCCACTCTTCCACACAATTTTCGTTTTCCATAGAAATCGCGTTTCTCAATTTAACAACAATCAATTAAATAGTAACGAGCGAATTTCTTTTTTTATTATGATTTGGATGTGTTGAGTGAATGTGTTTGTTAACTGAATGGAAGTTTCGGTTTCAGAGATGCAATTTGATAGAGGCGACGGTGAGGTTGGAGAATGGAAGGCCAAGTCCAAGTGAGTTGGTAGTTAGCGGCGGTGGAAATGCGATTCCGAGTATCTTTGCGGCACCAAATGCGCGTTTCGAGGATTTGGTTAACCGAAACGACACTCGTCTTCGAATATTTTCCGGCACCGCCAATCCGGCACTTGCTCAGGTCAATCTTTGGCAACACATGTTTAGAGTTTAATTTTGATCATTGGCTATGTTTTGAGGGAAATGGAATGGAATGGAATTACCATAGCATTGGTTATGTTTTTTATGATGCAATGAAAAGTAAGAAAGTTTTGATTCCATTGTTGTTTGGTAATGGAATTGGAAGTTTCCTACAAAGTGAGGGGAAACTGTTCCGATCTGTTTCAGAGTATAAATGAATTGATTGATCTGAGTTGCACTTGTGTACGCGTACTTATAGTATGCAAAACTTGTGTAACTGGATTCTGTTATTTGTTATAATGGTTTGAGACTGTTATAACAACCTACACAGATAGCTCTTAACAGTTTCTGACACTAGCAGTTTTAACTATCAGAGACAATTCTAGTGCTCTGAGTCAGCACAGTTATATAGTATATACTCTAGTATTTGGGAAGAGAGTGGAATGGTAAGAAGAGTAGTAAACAATGAATTGATTCCATCTTATACTTCCGAATTGAGGGACAGAAAACTGGAAGTATTTGTTGGAATGGGATGTGGAATAGATTACATTAGTATCCATTTTGTTCTACTTTATTTTAAACAATTCAAGCAATGACAACTATTGCTATTCCATTTCATTCCTCTCAATTTAATCTTCTTTTTTATCAATCGAAACATAGCTGTTAAGTTTTTTAAACTATGATATCAAATCATGTACAGGCACATCATTAAAATAATATGACTTTTTGAGTAATTGTTGTGGTAGACACTGGATCAAAATTAAACTATTAGCTTTATGTGAATAATTGTACAGAAACTAATCGCTGAATTTTTTTGGCTACCATTTTTAAGGTTAGACTAACTCTTAGTTTTAGCCAATAGGTATGAACCTTTTTTATTTTATTGCTCTAATCTAAATAATACTCTTTAGTTCTGATTAGTGTGCTATTTCACAGAAATGAAAATTGTTTTTGGCTAGCTTATTTATTCCATTTCCTTTTCTTGTTTATTTTTGGTTTTTTTATGAAGTGCAATAATATTTTTGGCGAGTAAGGTTTTCATATTTTACATTTTGGATATACTTCTGTTGTTTACTAATATTTGATATCTTATATTATACACCAGATAGTCTTTAATTATTTACTGAAATGTCTGATTTGCATGTATTTAAATAGGAAATTGCATGCTACCTGGGCCTGGAGCTAGGAAAAATTAAGATAAAGCGTTTTGCTGATGGTGAGATATATGTTCAGCTGCAAGAGAGTGTCAGGGGGTGTGATGTGTTTCTTGTGCAGCCCACATGTCCTCCCGCCAATGAGAATCTTATGGAGCTTCTCATAATGATTGATGCTTGCAGGAGAGCGTCGGCCAAAAATATTACTGCAGTCATTCCATATTTTGGATATGCTAGAGCTGATAGAAAGGTCTAGTTGTTAGCTTTCATTACATTTTCATAATATGTTTGTTATTTGTGTGAAATTTTGTGTTTCTTATTCTACCGTGTTTTTTCTCAGTGTTGTATACGGATTATGTTTTTTTCCAATGTTGAATAGGTACCATAATATGTCAATGTTTTAAAACGTAGTGTTGTTACAGGTTTTATTTTAAGCAAGCAGTTTTTTAGCCAGGTCTATATATTGTAATGAAATCATGTACAGTAATAATTAAGAAATAATATTCAGCTTTTTCATTCAAGTTGTCAGATACAGGTATTATAGAATATATCAAATAATAATATTTTAAAAACAGATGTATATATGTAAAAAATATTACGTACTGCATAATCATCTCTAAAGCTACACCTTCAATATGACCCATTGTAGTAACATATCCGATACTTATAACCACCTCCTTCGTCTGCATTAGTTTCTTTGACTAAATTGGTAATAACCCACTTTTTCTGTCAATCACCGACTCTACCAAAAGCTTAAGCTGCTAGGTTTCGTTCATGAATGACTTTATATCTAACTCTTTCCTTTGAAAGTTGATGAGAAAATAAACAAAACACACACTGAAGACTTTATCTGCCTGGAAAAAATGAAAAAGTGTTCACAAAAATATATGGAGAGCCATATCAGATGAGTATATCAATATCGGGTATGTATATAATATGGATGTACTAGCCCTTTTGGCATATCAGTGCATCATAGTTTGGATGTAAAGATGATAATATCTAAGTTGTTAAAACAATTAGTGTACTTGCAAATTAATTGTCAATATCCTACATTCAAATTCTTTTTAGTTTAAAATGGTCTTGAACTTCTGTTTCAGACTCAAGGTCGTGAGTCCATTGCTGCCAAGCTTGTAGCAAATTTAATTACAGAAGCAGGTGCAAATCGTGTGCTTGCTTGTGACCTCCATTCTGGGCAGGCCATGGGCTATTTTGATATTCCAGTTGATCATGTGTATGGACAGGTAATATAATACAGTACTTTGGATATTTCATTAGCATATAATAGCATGGAAGAATAAAAAGCGTATGTGATCTCAATTGTAATAATTTAAAGTCAGTTCATAATTTGCTACTTTATTGTTTTGATGATTGAAATGACATCCTCCTTGCTACATGCCTATTCTACTGTTTATATGATCCTTTAAATTTCTGGCTTTCCTCCTAAGCCAAGAAACCTTAAATCTAGTTTTGTTTAGATCTACTGAAACCTCTATAGTCTTTTTTTCTGTTCATGGACTCTAATGTTTTGCATTATTGTGCTCTCTTAATAGACCTTTAAGCTACCCCTTTTAGCTGTTATCTGATCTTAATAATCATCAGACTTAATATCTTTCTGCATGGTTAGTTGCTGTTACTCTACATATATTTTGGTGTGAACAACCGTTCACATGATTGTATTATGTCAGATGGTATGGTGGAGGCGGATGTTAGATTGTATAAATGTTGATTCTGATAATAATTGTAATGATGGTTGTTATTAGTGTTGGTAACGAGAATTATCTGGCTTCATCAGTCATTCAGTTTGTACAAGAACATAGAAATTTTTACTGCAAGATGTTAATTGAAGTCTAAGCTTCGATGGTTACTGAGAAGATGGATCTGTTAATAATTGGGGTTAGCAAATTGATGTTCTTGAGCAATTTCAAGTACTCCTATGCATAGTTGTCAGTAGCAGTTAGCGGCCGACCCGGAAATGGTATAGGGGTGTAGCGGTATTGCCGCTACGGTGAAGTATTAATTCCACATATATTATACTAACAGTCAAGAAACGAGGCAATACCGTTTTTAGTATTAATGCTCAAACATAAGAAGTCACACAAAATCAAACACATAATTCCGCAGTCAATGTCAAATACAAGGAAAGTAAAGGAAGGATCCAAAACTAAACACAAATGAACATTAAAATTGTCAAATAGTCAAGTACAAGAAGTGAACTAATGAAGAAAATCATCATTATCTCCGGATTCTCCATCAAATTCCAACATGGGAGTGGTGTAGCGGGTAGCGGTATTGCCGCTACGCTACGCTGCTACCTTCCGCTACGGCCAATGTCGCGTAGCGTCATGGTTTGTAGTGGCCGACCACCGCTACCCGCTATGGTAGCGGTTTAGCGGCGCTACAGGCCGCTACTGACAACCTAGCTCCTATCTAAGACTATTCTAGGAAGGGATATATGAAATAGCATAAAAAATGGAACCTGTCATTTTCTGTAACAATATTTGGGATCTGCTAATGATATACGTAGCTTGTATTGAATTTTATTAGTTATGGATTAACAAGAAGTTCTTACATTGAAACTGTCAATGTAATTTGGTTTATTGATTAATCGTATGTTCTTTTGTGCCATTACCAGCCTGTTATACTTGATTACCTTGCCAGCAAGACTATTTGTTCAGATGATTTGGTAGTTGTCTCGCCAGATGTTGGTGGTGTTGCTAGAGCACGTGCTTTTGCCAAAAAATTATCTGATGCTCCTTTGGCTATTGTTGATAAAAGGCGTCATGGGCATAATGTTGCTGAGGTATGATCGTGTACTCTTCTTAAGTTTGAATCTAGATGTCTTGACACTGTTCTGATTTAATGACTCCAGGAATCTTGGTAGAAAGAATTAACATACTAAATTTAGATAATTTAGAATATATTAATCACTTTTGTTATTTTTTCCATTTGTAAAAATGGTCAACATCAATATCTTTATACCAAACTAGTTGGGATAAGCAATTTGTAAAAGTAACAGTACCTTTGTTTATTTTGCATAAGATGGATGCAAGAAAACTGTTGGTGTAGATATTGGAATCTTTCTTGTAATTGCTTTATTTGTGGGACGTACTCTTTTCAAGCATAATGTCTTGATAATTTTTGTGGTAATTTATTTCCCATCAAGAAGTTATTTGATCATGGGAAGGCTTTATTATTTTATATTTTGATTTCTTTGCTGTGGTTGTGAAAGTCATATTCTTCTTCCATTTTCTCAAGCACGTGTTATATCTCACGCCTCTTAAGACCAATGATTTGAAATCAGGCTTGGAGCCCTGGAAAATGACCTGGAGAAATTGTCAGGTCAAAATCATTCGTTTAACCAGCTAGACCAATGGTTGAACCAAATAATGTAATATACATAAAATAATTCAGTTCTAGTTCACCCACTCACACACACGCACACACACAAAACCGTATAAAACTCTGGATATTTGATAGAACTGAGTTATCTTTATAAATATAAAAATTCAAATAATGATAAGCAATTTAAATGTTATTGAATAATTCACCTGTATTTTATTAAACAAAAATTAACATGACTATTTTTTGGTATCCAAGCTGGTTTAATTCATTGTTGGATCTATATTGGGCGAGACTCTCCCAACACTATTTTCTCTAATTCAGGACTAGAACTCGAGACTTTTGGTTCAAAGGAACAAGCTCCTTACCACTTAAACCAACGATTGTTGGTATTAAAATTATTTATATTAAGTAGAAAATTTCACATTTTTTGCGTAGTTTTCAATCTCGGATAGTAGTGCGGAGCGTCTGACCCTAAAAACTCTATTGCATAAAAAATCTATTGCAGGATAGCAGGATAGCTACTATATTGAAGACCATGGGAAACAAAATATATAATTTATACTAGACACATATATATGCTGAAAAAGAAAAAATTGTCCAAAATTAAAGACATATCATTAATAATCAAAAGTCGTAGTCTACACAGTCACCATCAATCTAAAGCATAATTAACAAGGCAATAACAACAAAAAGAGACTGAGGCTGAGGTGCTGTGTTGGGCTGTTTTGACTGAGGCAATGCACTGGCTGCATGTAAAAAGGGCTGGAATTAATAATCAACAGTGAAAAGAGGCAGAACAGAGGATGTGTCACGTAGCAGAAAGAAACCAAGGATGGAATCATGGAAGAAGTTGCAGCAAAAACAAAGTGTACACCTGTGAGTATGAACTGTGAACAGAGTCTGGAAGAAAGAGAAGACTCAACAAAGGTTAAGAGGCTTCCAGAAAACATGTTGGGGCAGCTGGATAACATGTTTGGCTGCTAGAAATGAAAGGGCTTTGAAGGGAAATGTGTTGCCTACGGGAGATAGGTTGTGTGAAGGAACTGAGCAGCAACCTATTGTGTCATTCTTAGAAGAATGAAAGATTTTGATTCCTATTTTCATTCTGATGTGATCTCACTTCAATTTCGTGGTCAGCGTGGTATTAGATCTTGGTTCCATCATCTGTGATCTATCTCATCACTTACAAGTCTTTGTCCCAAATGCGCTCTGGCCTCGATCTTTGTCCTATATTTGCTTTAGCCCCCTGTTTTTGTTGCAAATGCTTTGGTCATGTTTGCTTGGCCGTACTGATGATGTTCTCTTGCATCGATGTTCATTTTGGTGACTTCTTTCTTACCAATGAGTCATACATTGATGTATTAGTTTTGAATTGGTTCTGATTTTTACCAGCCTCCTCTTATGAATAATATACCGATGTTGATTTCTTCCATCTCATTGATGAGTCATGCTAGCAATATTTTTTGGGTCTCCTATGTTTTTTTTGTGTTTTGAAGCTTCGAAATGATGCTCTTCATGAACTTGCAAGAGAAGTTTTAGTTGTTTGTGTATAAACTCTTGTTATGACATTTCCACCCATGATTATTCCAATGAAGTCTCTTTTTCCTTAGTCATGCAACATTTCAACCAACTCTTCATGTTGATGACCATTTTGGCCATTATGTTGAGTTCTCTTTCTAGTAATGCTCATCTCTCTAACGTTTCAGCATCCCTGAGTTGCCTTTCCAACCATGTTCTGTGGAGCTCAGATAATATTGCTTGGTTATTTTTGATTTTTTAAGGGGTCATTTGTAACAAGCTTAAAGCATAGTAAGCTTTAGCTTGAGGGAGAGGGTTAGAATATATTAAATAAATCTCATAATATGTTGATTGTATCTTTGAATAGTTTAGAGTATCGTAGATGATCTCTTAGGAATAGTTTTGTTATTTCATTATATTTCATAATTTATTTCTTTATTTAATTAGGATTTGGAGTCTAATATTTGTATAAATCGGGATTAGTGCTTTGTATTTTGTATTGCATCATAACTAATCCTTTACAATAATATCAATATAATTTTATTATTCTTAGTTTTTGTTTTTTCCCTCTATACCTAAATGCCTATAAATTCAACATAGTTCATGTTAATTGTGAACATTGAAACCTCAAGAAGTAATTTTTCATATGTTTGAAAGTTTAAGTTGGTTAATTGCAGTAAAATCCAACTGGTAACGAGGCTGATTCATGTTTTGTATGGCTGGTCTGGTAACTTTGCTTTGTTTTTTGAGATGCTGCGTAAGATATGTGAGGGGTGACCATTGACCACTGTTGTTCCCTTGAAGTTAATGATAAAGCATAATTTATTGTTCCAAGTTGAAGCACCTTTTAGGCTTTCTGATTGGGTGAATCTCATCTTACAGGTGATGAATTTGATAGGAGATGTAAAGGGAAAGGTAGCAGTTATGGTAGATGACATGATTGATACTGCTGGTGAGTTAATGTGTAGATGTACAAGTGCAATAATAATATGTGATCCTATAATCACTTAGATGAGTGCCTCAAAACTCATGCATTTTCTCTCTCTCTCTCTCTCTCTCTCTCTCTCTCTCTCTCTCATTTTTCTTGGTAAATAGTTCAGTACTACAGAGTAAGTTTATATAGAAACAGACAAGGTGTATCATTATATGTTAAAAGAATCTTTATTTTCGCTTCAACAAAGAATTAGTTTTAAGTTTGAGAAGTAAAGATGGTGGTCTTTTTCTCTCGCCCTTCATTTACTTTTAATCAAGAAATGGGTTTTACATAAAAATACATTTCCTATTTATGGGTTTAGCCTGCTAAATTGGAAACTATTTTTTAGAGTCCTTATCCATAAAAATGGCTTGTAATAAAAGGGCATTTGAATTTTGAGCTTTTTATTTGTAACTTTAAGGCAAATTGGTCATCATCCTCTGCTAATTACTTAGCATGCTTGATTTGGACTATTAAATTTGATTAAATTTAAACTCTAGAGTTGTCTTGTTGAAGGGTAGTTACTGGAAATATAATGTGGTAGTATTTCTTAATTTTGCATTAGGCCGTGAGGGTGTTGCTTGTGGGCAAAACTAGGACTTAAGAAGATGCCTAGGGCATAAGAGGTGGCAAAACATGTTGGCAGGTCGGGTTTGTGTTGTGTCAAGTTTGACCTGCGGATCAAATTGTTCAATCCGTACACGACTCGATTTTGTTTGCAGGTCAAAAATTGAAACTCGGACATAACCTGCTGGTCACATGGGTTGACCCGCAAAATTTAAAAAATTTATTTTTTTTATAAAATTAAAAATAAAAGGAAAAATTGAATAAAATACGCCGGTTGACTTGTGACTCTTAATGGGGGTATGTGAAAATTACCAATATTTCAATTTTCTTTTTATACATCGTGTCATGGGATGACCCGCAGGTCATGACACGTTTTGCCACCTCTAGGCATAAAGAGCTAGACTTGGTCCTGTGCTTTGTCCTAGGTTGAGCCCAAAGGGCTTTTGCTTGAGGGGATATGGTATGATGAATTCCTGATTTTGTACCCAACAGCTAAACTTTAAAGAGAATTGGTTCCTTGACAGTATATATACCAGTCTATTCCTTTGGTATAGTTAAGTCCTGTCAATAGTCATCTAAATATATTTTGAATTTGTCTTATAGGGACTATTGCCAAAGGTGCAGCTCTCTTGCATCAAGAGGGGGCAAGAGAAGTCTATGCATGCAGTACACATGCTGTTTTCAGGTATAATGGCCTTTTTATTGTGTTAGTCATTTATTTCAACTTATGGTTTGTACCGAACTCACCTTTTCTTGCCTTCAACAAAAGGAGGGTGCTTGGGGAGATTTGAAAGCTGTAAAATCCTTTTCACTTCTTGTTTCTGTTACGGCTTTGGAGCCTCACCTTCCCTTCTATAACCCTACCCCAATCCCTGAGCTTGTATGATTATAAAGAAGAAAGAAAAAGATTTCCAACATTTGTTGTCTTCTTTTCCTGTGACATTGATGGATATGAAGGATAGAATGATGGGTAGTAGTACATATATGTCTTTTGATGCAAGGCATTTTACTCATGATTAATGCATCATTCTTTCCTTTGCAGTCCTCCTGCTATAGAGAGGTTGTCTAGTGGTCTGTTTCAAGAAGTTATAATAACTAATACGATTCCAGTGGCAGAACAGAATTACTTTCCCCAACTTACTGTCCTATCAGTGGCAAACCTTCTGGGCGAGACTGTGTGGCGTGTTCATGATGATTGCTCAGTGAGTAGCATATTTCTGTAAAATTAGTTTAGCTGGTTATTTCTCATTCTACCATTGGAAAAGTTAAAAATGATTGAGAAAAGGAAATCACCCTCAATACTTATACACATTCATGCTTGCATATATATACATCTATATTTTCAAATAAATCAATTGGAAAAAGTTGAGTATGTAACAAGGATTTGGCTGTTCCCAGTTCATCACTTCCTTGTGTTGATAATTGCATGTCCAGTGGTTAATTTTGACTTCTATTTATCAAGTAGCATGATAGCGCCAAAAATAGATTTATCTTGCAATTTTTTTCTTTTTTCTTTTCTTTATTTCTTTTATCAGGGTGCAATTGAACCTTATTCCAGTTTGGGCATTGATTGAACAATTTGTATCAATGGTATGCTCCTTCCAGCTTATGACACTGCGGTAACAAGCTGCAAAATTGTATAGTCGATTTATAGCAAAAGCTTTTCCTTAAGAGTAACTTCTAGTGAGCTGTTTCGGGAGTTTTTTGTACCTACAAAATACATTATAGGTGTATTTGAAATCCACAATGGAAATCGCGTGTCTTTTCCATTAATTTATGTCAGTACAATTTTTTAAGTCAAATGGTGAATTTACCACATTAACGGTATTGAATTGTGTGGCTATATTATTCTTAGTCTGTCAATTCCTTGTCCTTATGTATTAACAGAAAACATTTTGTTTAAAATTAAGCGAGCTTACTTATATATTATGTATGATTTGTAGCTTTATTTGATTTTTTTTTTTGAATAAAGCAAAAAGCAAACAAAAGTAAATATTTAAAATTTAGGAGTTCAGTGAAATAAATCTTTATGCCAAGGAAATTATTTATTTATTTTTTCTGTTGATCTCTGATTCCTTCATATTTCTCTTTAAAATGGATGGGCATCTTGGCACATATTTATTTCTTGGAACTGAATGGTCTGGATATAGAAAAATGTAAATGTTAGCTGTTAGATATAAGTGCCTCTAAATGATGAGATAGAAAAAAAAAAATTTTAACTAAAAACTTTGATGTAATTCAGTTTTAGTTTCAAACGCAAGATGATCCAGCATTTCGCTCAGATTGTAATTAAAATTTAGTCATCACGCCTTATTTTGCATCAATGATTGATATTGCCTGATTAAATTACTAATCAAAATTTAATTAAAAGCGGGGTGCAGCAAATAGAGAATCTTGAAGAATTTCCATTGTATTTGAATAATTTTATGTATAGTAGTTATAATTTGCAATTAAGTTTAATTTTTGAACAGTAATTTTAGTATTTGTTAATAGTAGCATAAAATTGATTTATGTATAACATAATTCTCATGAAAAAATTCTATATGGTATAAGGAAAAAGAAGGCAACTAAAATGGCCACTGCTAGTTTTGATTGCTTCTCTTTGAATTTTTAATGTTATACATAACTTATTTGTCATTTACTGAGAAATGCAGCGTCAACTTACAACATAATGAATTAAGAAAATTGTATTGTGATTGTGCTCTTCTTCCATATGGAGTTTCTTTATGAAGCTTTGACCTAGATTCTTTATGAAGCTTGCTCCAAATGTAGATGTCCATGGCCACTAAATTTGATTAAATATCTGAACAGTAATTTGATTAAATATTTGAAAACTAATTTGAGTATTTATATTTCCTTTAAATTATCGGAAAATGTAGTTATTTTCTGTTTGTTTAAGATTTCTTTTTGCCTTTTTTGAAGCAAGAGTAAAATATGCCGTGTATGTTTACCAAAAAAAAAAAAAAAAAAAGCCTGTCGTGGATACTATGAAAATATTTTTGATGCTCCAGAAGTATAGAGTATTCGGTACTTCTTTTATCAAATATAGTAAAAAGTAACAACTTTACATTACTCTTGCCTTTATATTTATTTTCACCATGTTTCATATTTTTTTTATTTTTTGGGCAAGAAGTATGTATTCTTGGAGTATAGAAAATTCTTTGGAGGTGTTTTTGGTAGAGGGTTTTGATAAAAATATCCAGACAACTTTCTTTAGGTTTTGAATTTGACCACGTTTGGTACAGGGGTTAAAAAAAATTTAACTAGGGAAGTGGTTTGCCCATCCTTTGCGATTTGTACTCAAAAATCATATCTTTCCCTGTTTCAGAAAACCTAGCCAGGCAACGAAAAAATGAGATCGAACCTGTGGACGAAAATGACCTTCACCCTTATCCCCGCCAAAATCGCTGTTCTCTTCCCTTTTCTTCTTCGTATACTTCTTCTGTTCTTCCGTCAACTCCCCTTGCAACCCTTCTTTCCTCCTCGTCCAAGGGCTCTTCTTATTCTTCACTAACCACGCCTCTGAAGCAGGGTTTTCAATCTCACCACCATTCTCATTATCACCATCGTTATCATTCTCTCACTCATCCTGCTCTTTTTTCGTTCGATGTGGCAACCGTCAGTGCCAGCATCGTGTCGTCCATCTGTGGAGCGCCGGAATGCCCTGGGGGGAGGCGGGGTGAGGACGATACCGGGGAGTTAGGGTTTTGAATTGGTGAGTCTAGATCGTCGTTGTTTTGGCCATTTGAGTATTGGTGAAGTAGATCCATTTTGGCGAATTTACGTTTCCAGCAGATTGGAAACAAACGACTATTTTAGGTTATTGTTATTTTTTAATTTCATATTCAAAAGTTAAAAAGCTTACTTTTGTAATTTTTACCGTTATCCACCATCACTATTTTTTCTCTGCCAAACATGAATTCTACAAATTTGACTCAATTTTCCTAGTAATATTTTGACTTACCAAACAATTTTTTTTAAACTTTTCTATCAAATTCATTTTCTCACCATTTTCATAGTAAATAAATTTTCCTAGTAAAATTTTTTTCTCCTCTACCAAACATTCCCTTAGGATACTATCGACATCTACCCATCTAAATTTTTTAATGATAAGTTAATTGTTAGGAATAAAAACTGTTTTTTTTTCTTTTTTATTTTACGATCAAAATATTTAAAATTATAAATTTGTAATTAAGATTAATTAAATATTGCATAGCTCTAAATTCTGACCAATAATTTATCATTAAAAATTAGGGGAAAACACTTCTCCTTTCACGGAAGAAGTGAGATCTTATGCCACACAAACAAAATTCGTGGGTCCCACCGGTTTTTTAATAAAAAGAGAAGAAGAAAAGATTTGGTACAGGGTTTGATGAGTCTGCGGGAATGATTTGACATGTTCCCGTCACTGCAGAAGTTTAAATCCCTTTTTAAAATCCCTAGCACACAAAATCAAGCGGAAGAACTACGGTAAGAATTAAACATAAATTTTCATATTGATTTATTCATTTATATTTTCATTTAAATAAAATGCTACGGATATATGCAATGGTAGAGCGAACAACCGCGGGGGGGGGGGGGGGGGGGGGGGGGGGGGGGGGGGGGGCGGATCTATTCCATTCAAAATTTAGGAGTGGCAAAATGTGTCAATGGGTCAGGGTCGTGTTAAGTTTGATCCTCGGGTCAAATTATCCAACCCGAACACGACTCGTTTTCTTTTATAGGTCAAAAATTGAAAGCTGAATATGACCTGCCACGAGTCGCGGGTCACACAAGTTAACCTGCAAAAATTGAATTTTTTTTTTTCTAAAAAAAAGTTAAAGAAAAAGGAGAAAATTAAATAAAATATGCGGGTTGACGTGTGACATGCAACGAGGTATGTCAAAATTACCAAAATTTTAACTTTTTTTTTACAAAAAATATTTTGCGGGACCTGCGTGTCAACTCGTAACACGACATGATACTAATTCTTGTCATTTATCCAAATTCACACACAACCCATTCTATCTCACGAGTCGACAGGATCCTCATTTTGACATGTCGTGTCACGGGTTCATGACACATTTTGCCAACCCTATAATTCAAATTTATTTATTGTTTTAGTTGTGAGCTGTAATTTATGTTATATTTGGTCATATAAATATTAATAGTCCTCTTCAACTTCATAAAAGTCTTTAATTATGAATATCATCTATTGTTATAAAATTAAGGAAAAAGAGTCTAGGGAAATAAGAGAAAAGAAAAGAAAAAGTATGTCACATAATAAATCTTATTTTTCACCGATCATTAGAATTCTTACAAGAGCCATGTCCTTATATAGGACTTTGACCATAATGAATGAATAAATACACTTTTGAATACATTATTAATTTTGTAGTTACATAATATATCAAAGGTCATAGGTAACTAAAGAGTCATCCACATATTAAACTATATATTTTACAACACTTCTCTTGAATGACTCCAAACTATGAATATGCCTCGTCAGAACCTTTCTACGAAAACTTAGGGAGATAAAAACTTGACGAAATAAAGAGAATACAATATTCATAATTAATATACAATATTTTCTTATACACTAAGTTAGACTGCCTCATTAAAAACCTTTCTAAGAAAAATTCAGTAAAATAAAAACTTAGTGTTTAGGGGGTGTTAGGTTTGCTGTTCGATTCCATGTAATATCCAAAAAAAGAAAAACAAAGTGTAGTTCATATAACTCCTCCTCACTTGAGTCATATAGCTACTGCTGCTATAGGTTATGGAAGTAGAGCAACACTTACAATTTTTCACGATAGTTATCTCATAATTTTCTCCGATAATAAAGTGTAGTAATGTCCGTTGAATTGGATGGGTAACATTCATTTATAACAATTCTCATTAGGTGTTATTGCGCTAAGTTCATGCCTAGTTAAAATCTTAAAAAAAAAAAAAAAAAAAAAAAAACCCAAATCATTTTAAGGATTGAGTTAAGCCCAATCATTCTAACACCAATCGCAAAAATGGCATCCTAAAGACCATTTGCTTTAAATTACCAAAACCATTTATAAAAAAATAAAAATCCCACGATATACCACTCCAGCTTCGAAGGTTTGATACTACATCAATAATAGTCTACGTATTCCACCAATTAGGTTCTTTAAGGGGGCGTTTGGTACAGGAGAAATTTTTATTTGTCCGGAAATCTCAATTTTCAAAAATATGATTTTTACATTCAGTTTACCATAATATCCGGAAATTTAAAATTTAGAAAAATTCAGTTTCCCGGGAATCCGGCCAAATGCCGTGTACCAAACGCTCCCTAAGTTCTTGTTACTATAGGTTGGTTTTCTTCCTAATGCCTGTTCAAGCTGTACCAAAATAAAACAAAATGTGCATAAACAAGAAGGTCAACGCTAGGGAATTGCGTTTACAAAAAAGATAAACTAATTCAAATTCCAAACCAAGAGTGATGAACTTTTAATATGGCCAAAAAAGAGTACATTTTCAAAGCAGATTCTAGGGAGCAGCCTATAACATGTTACAAGGCCAAACTAAATTGATATGAAATAAGATTAAATATCCCTATTTGCAATCCTATGAATATAAACTTATTCTGGGTTTTGTAGATTTGTCTTTCTCTTCTTGATTTCCCAATTTACTCTTTCATGCTCAAAACTGGAGCCTATGCCTCATCATATATCAAATGAAGAGCCACTTGAGGATTTCCCTTATTGCTATGGGAAATTAACACAACACTGCTACCTCACATGGGGGGGCCAGGAACCCCTATATATATATATATTTATATATATATGTATCCCTGGTGATTTTATTGAAGGTGTGGTTGGAATAGTTTGGAGCCTTTCTGTCTCAAGAAGTGTACCGTGTTGTAACTCCAATAAATTGATATCCATAAAGTCTTAGAACTATTCCCTGCTTTGGATATGTTGAACTGCCAAGTTGTTGAAGCTATGTGATCTCCTAGAATACTCCCTTATAAGTTTAAAGAAGAATGAATCTTCTCTTTCAAGTAACTTTGATGGTTCATCATACTCTGCAACTCTCCCTGCAACATAAAAGTATATTGAGTAACTTTCTTGGTAGTCATGTCAAATTCTGGTTCCATTATCTAGTTTGCATTATGTCAATACTTGTGTTTGTGTTATGTGCATGATGTGTCTGTGACTTCATTTGGTTGTGGATTATGTTGAAAATTCAAGTGCGAGTGATAAAGTCTCATGAAAATTAAAAAATGAACTAAGTGAAGATCATAAAAATAAAATGATTTATAGACTTATTGTCTTAAGGTTTTGGGTTAAAACCTGATATGAATTATCCATTGTTAAAGTGGTATTGGGAGTTCAAAACACCAGATAATTTACCGAATTTGACATCATATCTTAACCTAAAACTCCACCTATATATGCTTGCATAACTTGTCCTAAGCCAGGGTAAAGGAAGATGGATGGCGTCGAGTGTAGCAAGGCAGCCGTAAAATATATATATAGATATAGATATATGTTGAGATATATAGTCCCATATTGGTTGTATGTGCAACTAATGTGGAGTTTATAAGGCCTTGGGCACTCCCACCCTTTGAGCTAGCTTTTGGGGTGATGTATCCCAAGGTTCTTTAACAATATACTTACCATCACTTAGAACCAAAACCAAATCACTATCAATAACTGTGTGAATCCGATGAGCTATTGTGACAACAGTTCGATCTTTGAACTCTTGACTGATGATCTCCTGTAACACTCCATCAGTTGCAGAATCCACAGAGGCTGTTGCTTCATCTAGTACTAATATGCTGCTTCTCTTCAGAAGGGCTCTTCCAAGGCAAAACAATTGCCTTTGGCCCACACTCCAGTTATCACCATTTTCAACCACTGAGAAAACAAAGCATTTCAGTTCAGTAATTATTATTTACCAAAAGCATAACCAAACTATGCAAGTTCAAAGCTGATGAATTCAACCTGGATAGTTCAACTTCTCTTCCTTGGCCCTCACTAGGTGACCTAACTGACATTTATCTAGAGCCTGAAAATGAAAAATCCATTTGATGATGACAATAATCTTCTTTATCTTGAGAGAGAGAAAAAGGGTAAAAAAATTATTACTTCATGATAAACAAACTTAAAAAGGGGCGAGGCTGGAGTAATAGTAAAGCTGCCATTTTATGACTAAAAGGTCATAAGTTCAAATATGAGAAATAGCCTCTTTGCAAATATGTAAAGGTAAGGTTGCGTACAAGAATTATCCTCGCCCTTACCCTCGCTAGTCGTGGTTTAATGAGAAGTGATTTTAATGGTTTTTTTTCATCAGTAACAAACTTACACATAACTTGGTCTTAGAAATTGTATGCAATGAGTGAATATTTTCTCTTAGTTACTCTATTTCCTCTCATAATGATAGAGATACATTAACTTCCATTTTCATTTTCTAAATTTAACTGTTTGATTAAAATATTTACCTCCCACACTTCAATGTCAGAGTATTGCTCCAGTGGGTCCAGGTTTCCTCTAACTGTGCCTTCAAACAAAGCAGGGTCTTGTGGAATAATGCTAAGCCTTGACCTTAAGTCATGAAGACCTATCTTGCATATGTCCACATTGTCAATTATAATGCTTCCCTCTCTTGGTTCAACAATCCTGAAAATAGCTTGTATAAGGGTTGATTTTCCACTCCCAGTGCGTCCTACAACACCAATTTTCTTCCTCCCAGGAAATGTGCAAGTAATGTTTTTTAACACAGAAGGGAGATGTTCAGCATAACGTATCTGTCACACATTAGTAGAAGAAATGTGAGGAAAAACTAGTACACAAAAAAATTAAAGTTGTAATTGAAAGAAATAAGATATTTATGAATGCTTATATGGTCAATGGATCTTCTCATGTTTCATTTTAACACGACCATGTCAGACAAAAAATCTCAACAATTCATGTAGGATCTATTCATGTTATTGCGAACCTGCAAATTTTTGAAACAGATTGTTCCAATTTCTGGCCAGTTGCTTGGTGGTCTGCAATCTTCAATCACAAGAGGTGCTTCACTTGTTATATTTGTATACTGAAGAATTCTTTCAACTGATATCATCTTGTTTTCTGCATTGCATATGTTCCATATAACTGATGCTTGCAAGACATTCAGATTGATCCCATATGTTACTGCCAACCCGGCGATGCCTGTAACGGATCCCATGCAGAAAAAGGTAATCAGGTGCATTATCTAACTCGCTTTTGTTGAAAATTCATGTGTTAGTGACGAGTAATTAAGTCCCGTAAACTCAATACCTTAAGGTTTTGGGTTAAAATGTGGTGTTGAACACATTGTTTTTGTGTGTTTGCGTAAAACATGGATGATTGAGGATCTTAAAAGGATTATAATTTTCTTGTCTCTGAGTAATTGTTACCAAAGAAAGACTTGTACTTACTTGGATTAATTATTCCTTCAGGGAGGCTCACCAGCAAGACCAGTGAGAAGGCAAAAACAAAATTTGAAAGTAAATTCAATCTGAAAGAAAGCCATTCCATTGCAGACACATTATGAAACCAAGGTCTTGAGTAGTTATCTATAAGGCCAACATTTGTGTACATGAAACGGCTTTCTTGATCAAAAGCTCTAATTGATGCTGCTCCTGCTAAAGATTCTGAAAAATGGTGGAGAATTGGAGTAATTTGTATCTGTGCTAAGCGAGCCAGTTCTCTTGCTGTTGGTGTATAATATCTCTGAAATAAACATCATTCAACTTCTGTTAGGATATCATAGAACAATAGTGGGTAGAGAGAGACAGTGAGTGAGAAAGAGAGACTAATTTCATAATCAAAACACCAACAACTTAAATATAACCATTTCTGTCTATTGTATTTTTCTTTTCTTTTTATAGTAGATACCAAACCGTGTCTGAAGTCCTAATGGACTCGACTAATCTGGTTTCAGGTTTGTGGCTCTTCACTCTTTCCAAGAATTGCGATTCTTGGGATTTGAAAGTACTACCCTTTGGGCAGGTTAAATCCTGAATTCTTGCTAAGTCGTCACTAGACCAACAACTCTTGGGTGTCTTTTGCTTTAATATGGTAATGTCTCTTCCATCTTGTCCGTTAAAAATGTTAGATTTGAAATTGGAATATATGCTTCACATAGCTTGCAGCATCCTATGTCTTTGTTTTAACTATGTTACATAGCTTATACCATAAACATGAGAAATCATATGATATCTTGTATAACTTTTGAAACTAGTAATGAGTATCACTTGTTTTATGTCCTGTCATACATAGATCAAGAGGGAAAAAGGATCACATACTTGATAAAATATGCAGACTGCAGTTACTGGAATGAAGATGACAAATACTTGCCATGCCACCTGGGACATCACTGCAATAGTGCCTAGAATTTGTATTATTGAGAAAGCACACCATCCTATTTTGTTTGCCATTTCCAAGTCTACCACACTTTGATCTGTAGAAGTCTGTAACAAAAACTTTCAAGTCTTAGAATCATTGTGGTAATAATAATAAACATAAATAGTATTGATATGAATACTTACCCTGTTCAAGATTCTACCAGTTGGGGTTGAATCAAAAAATGCCATGGGGGCTCGGAGCACATTATGCAACATTTTGGTGAAAAGTGTTTGTGCTGTCCGAAGTCCAGCATTTGCCACCAACATGGCTCTCACCAGAACACAAAATGCACCAGCAATTGAGAGTAGCATATATATATTTAGTATGAAATTCATCTCAAATAAAGGCTTAGCATCAGTTGTTGTAGGACAAACCCAAGCCATCCAATAGTTACTTGCAATCTGAAGTATTTGGAATGAAGACTGTGCCAAGATTATGATTGGAACCAGGATTCCCCCTTTAACAATTGTCAAATAAGACCAGTAAACTTCTTTTGATATGCTCCCTCTTTCTCTTTCTTCATCTTGCACCAATTTACCATCATTTCCTTTGCTCTCTTCAGGATTATCTTGCACTGTGTCATGCTGGATGCTCACAAGTTTAACATTTGAATCGGAATTGGTGTTGGATTCACCTTCAGCTATTGTATTTAAAGTTGATCTACTTGAATTTTCAACCATAAGAATTGACTCTAGAGCTTTGCTATGAGCACCAACTAAAAGTTCAAATCCTATATTTTGCTTTAGAAGTTCTTCAAACTTTCCAGCTTGTACAATCCTTCCATTTTGCATCACCTGGTTTTTAATTTGGGTCAGTTTGATACACTAAGCCACAATGTGACACAGCTTCAATCCTACTAAAATTTACTATGATATAATACATTATAAAAATGAAAAAAGTTAATCAAGTTAAAGGAATCTAAATTAAAAACATTTGACTCTCTTAAACAATGAGTAGTTTACTAGATTCAAATGTCTTTACCAACATAATTTGATATACTCTTCAGTGACTAAATAAATATAAAATCAAACATTCACACTGCATTTACCAGAATAAGGTCTGCTGCTGGAAGAAACTCAACTTGGTGTGTAACAAAAAGTATAGTTTTCTCTTTGAGAATCCCCATAAGACACTCCTGCAGAAAACAGTGAAACAAATGTTGAAGCAATTTTTTCTTAAACCAGTTCTCAAACCATGAAACATTTACTTATTTGAAGTGTAAAGAAATTCTGACCTTAAAGAGGTGTGTGCCAGTATGAGCATCGACAGCACTGAAAGGGTCATCAAGAAGATAGATATCAGCATCCTGGTAAACTGCTCTAGCTATCTGTATCCTTTGCTTTTGTCCACCACTCATATTAATCCCTCTTTCTCCAATATCTGTAAGGTCACCACAGGAAAATAGCTCAAAGTCCTTTTTCAGTGCACATGCTTCAATAGTTCTCTCATACTTATCATTATTGTATTCTTTTCCAAAGGTAATATTCTCCTTGATATTTCCAGTTAATATCCATGCTGATTGTGGAACATAAGCTTTTGTTCCACTAATCTTCACTGTCCCAGACTGTTTATATATTTCTCCCAAAATGCCTGAGAGAAGACTAGACTTTCCTGAACCTACAGATCCACAAATTGCCACCTTCATTCCTCTCTTAACCTTTAACTCACTTACATCAATGGTTGGATTTCTTGACTCAGGATCCCAACTAAATCTCCCCTTTTCAATAACTATATCAAATTCAGTTTTGTCTTTTGCAACATATTCAATGACATCATGTTGGATTTCTTCCTCCTTGAGGTAAGAAGCAATCCTATCAACTGAAACTTTTCCTTGAGCAATGACATTGAGTAAATCAGGAAGGCTAAATATAGGATCCTGTAACATTCTAAATGTAGCAAATGCAGATAAGACTCTTCCTGCTGTCAGTTCAATCCCCATGAACATACATGCCCAAAAGGTTATCACAGAAATGAATGTTGGTGATCCCCAAAAGATGAAAGCAGAAAATGCTCCTTGTCTTAATGACTTCATTAACCAATTATACTCAATTTTCCTCAATTCTTCTATCCTTTGAAAGAATTGACTATCCCATGCTTGGAGTTTCAAAGTCCTCATGTTTCTGAGAACTTCTGAAGTGGCTTTCATCCTGTTGTCCTTAGCCTCCATGATCTTGGATTGGTACCTTTTTTGTATTTTTGTAAGAGGTATGTTCAAAGTCATAACTGCCATTGTAGCAGCTAATGCAGCCATTGAACCTATTCCAAGATTTGTATGCAAAATGAAAACTGCTAAAGAAATTTGTATAGGCAGCATCCATATTACATTTACATACCAAATGAAATCTGTGATTCTCTGCACATCTACACTCATATAGTTCATTATCTCACCACCTGTATGACTTTGGCGCGATCTATTTGAAAGATGTAAGCCCTTCTTATATATATGTGAAATCAATGCAGCTCTAAGGCGAAGGCCTAATTGCCTGGCACCAAAAATCCATTGCCTCTGAGCTATGGTCTCAACCATTTTGGCACATAAGAAGCCTAGTGACAGAAGGTAACCGCTTTTTAGCCCGCGGGTTTCCTTTTCCCCAAGGAAATTCACAAAGTCAGTGATCAAGTATGGACCAACATATGATGCTGAAGCACTTACTACTGCAAAAAGAGCATTGATTGCTGCTTTCTTCCTAGCAAAGAAATAGATAGCCTTGTAGATAGATGGGTTTGTAGTCCCATCTTTCTCCTTAACTTGTCTAAGGCTCTCATCAAGGGAGTAGGTCAGAAATTCAGCTGAGTCCTTGATGTCAACATCAGGAATGTCATTCTGTTCAAGGGGTTTCTTGTACCCTACGGCAAACAAAGGATTGAGCCAAGAGAAGGTAATGAGTTGAAGAAAAGTAGCTTTTCCATACGGAGATTCCCCTTGTTGCTCTGAATGTTTCTCAGTTTTCTCTCCAAGAAGTGGTTCGGATTCAACATTTGTGGCAATTAAGACATTGCCTGTCTTCCCTCTTGTTGAAATAACCAAAAGGCATGTTGAAGCAAACAAACCAAGGAAATCTGCATATTCTCTTATACCAATCTGACCCTGGTTGTTGACACTGAAATTGGAATGAAGGGCTGTGCTGATAATGCACAAAAGGAAACTGCAAAGACACCAAGCCCTTAGAATCCAAGGGAAATGAGTATTTGTTTTTGATACCATGCATATTGCTATTACACTAATTGCCCATGATAACACTTGAGTTATCTCTGATGTAAAAGCCTGAAGTTTTGAGGTACATTGAGGCTCATGATTGAGCATTAGTAATAGCATTAATGCATGAACAGCAAACAATAAAATGGTGCAAACTAAGCTGAATTTGTAAGCAAAACCAAGTTTCACTACAGTTGGATGCTTCTCTGTGGCAAGATCTGAGACCTTGTTTTGCTTGCTGATCATGTTCTTCATACATGTTCGTATGAGTTGGACTAACAAGATCAGAAAGAAACCAAGTTCCACTGGTAAAACCACATCCTCCAACAAGCATGGTGAGTCCAGTGGCTGCCATGTAGTCCAAAACTTACTTCTAAGCTCTGTAGAAATCAAAAGACCAGTGATGTCATAGTCATTAGTATATAGTTCGAACAAAAGTTAATATAATTTGATAAGGGTGTAACAGAGTTCAATCACTATAGTTCAAAATTAGGCCTTTTTATCCATGCATGTAAAACTTGGTTTTGTTATTTCCTTGTTATGCAAAATTTAAACATTGGTAGAGAGAGTGAAGATTATACTAGGGCCCCTTCTACATTCAAATGGAAATTTTCATAGGTATTGATACTACCTTTTTTTTTTTTTTTTTTTTTTTTTTTATAACATTGATACTACCTTTAACTATTTAAGCATAGTTAACTAAATCTAATTTCACAATAAGTGATTAAAATGGACTATTAAAAGTTAATTGACTTCATAGATTAGTTGATGGAGGTGAAAAAGGATGTTATATGCTTTAATCATCCATTTTGTTCGTCATGTTTATCTATATCAACCATACTAATGTGGAAATAATCATGGATTTGAATTATAACTTCTAGCTGAACAAATCCAAATTAAACTTGGGGTCCTAACCAAGTGCTAAATGGGGAACATAAAGTGAACATCTATGAAGGTTTTTAGTGATTAAACTTGCTACAAAGCAATCATGCAACTAGTACCTAGAACTTTTTATATTGTAACATTTCTTATTTTATTATATATAGAAAGATAGAGAGAAGATGGGGGGGGGGGGGGGGGGGGGGGGGGGGGGTCTTAGTTTATATTAATATTGTAACATTTCTTATTTTATTATTCAATAAATAAAGGATTTTATAACTCTTTTGTCACTGTAAAAAAAACTTCTGCAACAACACTAGAATACGGTTTCGGACCCTGATATTTTTTAAAAAAAAAAAACAAGTAAAACTCATTTATTTGTATCTGCTGTATCCAATAAAATTATGCGGTCGCTATAGAAAATTTGCACCCTTAAACAAATTATAGTATTGATGCTATAAACAAAGTCATTTAGAATAGCATAAAGTTGATGTAGATCCGTGTGTTACTGTATCTCATGATTATGACTTTTACTTTAAATTCTGTGTTTTAAATTGAAATCAATCATGGAAAAGTACAAAAGTAACGATAATAAAATGTCCCATTTTAAAATCATTCTGTCCCATATTTTAATTAACTTATCTTTACCCCTTCGCCATTAATTGAGTTAATTATTGACCAAAACCAATTTTCCAAATAAACAAATAATGAGACAGCTTTTGGTATTACCGTTTAGTGTACACAGTTGTCAAAGCAGATACTTCATACAGAACAAACAAAATCAAATAAAGTAACAAAAATGTTATCATTTCAAATCGAAATTTCCTTTTGGTTTTTGTTTGTTCTGATCTTCCAATTTGCAATAGGAATTCAAATTTGATTTTTCCAACAAAATGAGCACATATAAGGAATATTATTATTGAGAAGATTTTCATATTATTGGGATTTAGATCAATCAATCCACACACAAAGACAACATTGTTGCTGACAGCTACGGCGTGTGGTTTTTATCACTTCAATATGAAACCAATTGTTTTCCAATAGGTGGAACCTACTAGGAAAGCAGAACTTAACTAAAAGCTAGAATATAATAAAATAATACATATAATATATATGTGTTATACTTTTATTTGAATACGTCTGAAAACAACAACCTAAACATAATAGTTTAAAACACTATTTTAAAAATACTGCGACCGCTACATGTAACTAGCACATATAACTCGTACACTATCTCTCTCTCTCTCTATATATATATAGAGAGAGGTAGTATTCTTTGATATTGGTGTCAAATTTGAAATTTGACACTTTATCTGATAGCTGTTAGATCAAAAAAGATCAATAGTGTCACATGCTTACAAATCAGAGTCGTTGATCTTTTTTGATCTAACGGCTTTCAGATTCGGTGTCAAATTTAAAATTTAAAATTTGACACCGGTGTCAAAGGATCCTGCCCCATATATATATATATATATATATATAATTCTGAATATCATATTAATAGTACTGTTACCTAAACTCAGTCACCTATGTTGTTCAGTGATGCTTAAATGCAAAATGGATATCCAGAATGATGCCTCTCTGTTATTGAACAGCTTGATTGCTATTTATAATCTATCTTGGAATATCAACAGGAATATGCATAATTCTATGAAACTAGCCAGTTTGTGTTATTAATTCAAGCATTTATTTTAAGGATGTTCATTTGAAAAATACATACTTGCATATTATACAACAGTAGCAACTAAAAAAGTAATTCAAAGTAATCATGTTACTAGATAATTAAAGTAACTTCATTGTTTAATCAAATCTTAAAATCTTTTGTACATAACTTCAAAACAAAAGTCCTTCAACATTTTGTAGAACATGAATTTATCAGAAGGAGTAGTCATCCAGGCAACTGAAGAACAAAAAGACAATTTGGAACAAAACATTAACTAGAAGTGAAATGCTCACACATAATGCATTCTCAAATATCAAGAACTTCAAAACTACTGCTTTTGCTTCAAATATATACATAATTACTTCTGGGTATGAACTTTTCAGTAAAATGAACTGGTCTTTCTCTTCTATCAGTTTTCAAATGTATATTATATAAGAATGTGAAAGAGAAGTGCATGAAACTTCTAAATATTGATTACAACTTACTTGTTGCACTAAGCATGTTGTAGAAGTCCTCCAAAGGCATGCTTGCTCCTCAACTTGAAGCTTAAATTATGCTTTTTTTGGGTTCTGCAGAAAGTGTTACATATGATTTGGTCTTAGTTTTCAAAGGTTGTAATAATATATATACACACATAAATATAAGTACTAACCACTCTGCTAATATATTATGGATTTAGAGCTTTAGCGACTAGGGAAAGTAAGCAGCATGGGAAGTAGAAAGAGAAGGAAAAGGGGGATATAGAGAGAGAGAGAGAGAACAACTTCAGATTTAAAGAGCACTGGTAGAGTTTGCACTAAAAGAAAAAGAAGAGCACTAGAATTTTTAAGTGATGGATGTTTCTCGTTAGAAAATAATTTTATCTCTCGTACATATATAAAAATATATGGAGTCACGTGAAGAAAAGAGAGAACAAGAAAACATGAACTTTACATATTTTTACGTGGGGATAGTATCAACTTACACCGGTGTAAGAATAATAAATCTTACACCAAATCTTAATGTTGATTTCCGTGCATCTAACGGTTGATATTTATTGAGAATTAAAAATCAATTAATGAGTGAGACTTAATAAATCTTAACCGTTAGATACAAAAAATCAATGGTTAAGATTTGGTGTAAGACTTATTAGTCTTACACCGGTATAAGATGAACCTGCCCCTTTTACGTGTGTGAAAAAATAAAATTATTTCCTACATCATTAAAAACACTAATTCCAATTTTTAAAGGGAAAAAATGTGACATAAATGTTTATTTTTCTGCTCACTTTCGCAGAGAGACAAAGAAACTTGAACTGCTAGAAGTCACGTGAGAGTGTATATGCATAATTGATTCTTGGCATGTTATATGAATCATGATTAGTGGCCTTTAGCTTTTAGTAGGACTGCAAAACTGAGTAGCGTACCACACAAGTAGATCTGTTGGGCTCAGAATTGATAAGAAACGACTAGCCTTGTACCATCGGTGAGGGTGCTCCTTTTGTCACTCGAAAGTACTTCTACGAGTCACAGGTTCTGAAAAACAGTTTTTTTATAAAGATGTAATGTAAGTTTAAAATTATGTATAATTGAGGGGAATTGATTCTGTGACGTGAAAAAGTGTTATGTGGTCATATTATTTGTTCACAATCATTTATTGATACTGAGATGAGAGAAAGAAAAGTGTATAATTTTTAATTGCGTGGTTGTGATCAAATATCAAATAACACATTTACAAAAAAAAAAATTTACAAAAAAAAAAAAAAATATCAAATAACACATGATCACTTTTACACATGAGAGAATTCATTCCCATAATTGAGAGGCTATTTTCTGAATTTGAAATCGTGACCTTTTAATTATAAATGAGCAGTTTTATTATAAAGTACAAGAGAGAAAACCTCAAACAAAAAAAAAAAAAAAACCTCTTGAAGAAGTTAAAAATTAAAGCAAGCATTTGGTAATAAATTTGAGAATCCCAGGTTTTGAGTTAACTGGGTATGACAATAAAAACTATTATGAATCATAATCATAAACAACTATGCACAAAGGTATGCATTAATTCAACCATAAATTCTTACCCATCGTTGTAGGTTAAAAATTAAAAAATTTCTTCTATCATGAAAAACTTTTATAATCGAATAAAAACAATCTCACATTTCCTATGCAAGGACAATAACATTAATACGTGACACGGATATAAAATTGACACCCCAGTATGTAAAATTTTATTTTTTTTAAGGAAATTGACAACATGGCATACCTCTATTCAGATGTCAACATCTCAAACACAAACTCATGAAATTTTGGGGTTGGCGACCATTGAAGGAGTGTTTTGAGATTGGCTTAAAGATAAGAAAGTATGTGTGAGAGGTGGTGAATCATTCCTTCAAAATAGTACAATCTAGAATTTGATTGATGGTTTGTTTTTTTTGTCACGATGAGGTTAAGATGATTGAAGAATATGATTATATGAAAGCAGTATAGAGATTACTACTGCATTACGGAGAGGACACTTTGATTTTGATGGCAATTTAACCCGGAAGGAAAAAGAATAAGAAAAAAGAAATGATTAATGGGTTTTCGGGAATAAGTGTGTGCCATTCTAGATGATGTAAAGTTGTGTTATTTTAAGTGAGAGAAAGATTTCAACTGAGAGAAAGAGATAGATTATAGAGAGAGAGTGGACAAAAAAAATTAAAAGTGTGAGTCTCACATCTAGGTAAAAGTGAAATGACACAAGTTGTGTAATTTAAAAGTACAAACATTTTTTCATTTTTTTTTTAATAAAATGATGTTTTTAAAAAGTAATAGTTGACGCAGATATTTTGAATGTAACAGTTAGCATTTGAGTATTATTTTTTTAGGGATAAGTTATTTTATTTTTATTTTTTTTTGTCTATCTTTGTTTATCACTTTAAAAGATCAATAGATCAGAATTTTAATTAACATCTATTTTTCTCTCTTCTCTTTAGATTCTGATCTAACAGTATTAAAAAGTGATAGATAAAGATAAGCAAAAAGAATGATAGATAGAATAACTTATCTCTATTTTTCTCATGCGAAACTAACCAAAATTTTGAGTTTAGATTGCCAGCTAGGTAACCGTGATTGATGCATGTATTTACAACTGGTTCGTTGTCTTATAGTAAAATAAACTAGAGTTAATCTGCATACAGATCCAAAGTAGCAAGAATATCGGATGTTAAATTTATAAAGGTGAAACTTAAATATATAAATTGAAAAAATTGCTCAAAATTATAAGAAAAATATGCATGTTTAATTCAATTAAAATATATATTAGAAGAGAAATGTAACATTTCATATGTTTTATGATGTGTGATTTAGAGCTCGTTTGGATATATGATCTGAAAATCACTGTTACATAAAAAAGTTGTTTGGATGTTAAAATAAAAAAAGCACTTTTTATATATAAAATTACAATAAAAAAGAGATAAAATAACATGGTCGTAGGATAAGGAGACATAAAATAGATATGATAGGATAAGGTTAAAATTGTATTTTAAAAAATTATATTATCTTTTTTCAAAAAAAAAAATTATATTATCTTTTAATTTCTGCTTTTTTCAAAAGCAACTAACTAGTGACTATAAAAAAAAGTAACATTTTAACTTTTATTTTAAATTTTGTTTTTTTTAAAAGTTGCTATCCAAACATCTAAAAATTCTCAAAATGACTTTTATTTAAAAAAAAAAAGCAACTTTTTTCAGAATAAAAACCCATCCAAACGGGCACTTAAGTTTGCTGTTAAAAGAGTTAATTTTCCATATACTATTATCTTATATGTTTGTTTTTTGTGATTTTCTAACTCATCCAATAAGCTGGTTGATACGCACAAGAGGATATTCATTTTGCTATTTCATAAATTTTGAATATTTTATTTACGTGTAATTTTTAGAATTAGAAAATTATATTTATAAAATTTGTTTTCTTATAACCTTTTAAAACTACTTTGTTATTATCAAATTAAAATTAAATTTAAAAAGTCATAAAATGAAATGAAGTGCTGATGATAAGAAAATGGTGCTAGAAGATTGTAAGGAAGAAAAAGTTATAAATATAATCTTTTCTTATTATTATATGTTACGTATTACTTATATAAATATAATGGATATTATAAGAAAATATTTAAAATTATAAAAAAATATATAATTAATTTAAATTTAAAATTTAAAATTAAAAAAGGAAAAACAACATGATTCATTCTTTAATATATATTTTTATGCTATATATCATCAAATTTTGCGTTAGTATATGATTGAATGAGAGAAAACTAATAATTACCTCATGACAATTATCTAAGTTGAAGACAATTATATGACTATGCGATGGGTAACATCCTTGTTTATTTTAATAGCAATTATTACCGTAATCTATTAGACTAGTGCACATGTATTTGAATAGTGGAGCATTTATCAGGATGTGGCGACATGTACATAGGTCTATGAAAGGAGTAAGTAGCTGCCAAGATAGCAGAATCAGCAAAACGACTTTTTTTTTTTTTTTTTTTGGAAATTCAAAACAAAAAATTCATATGTCAAAATCAAGCTCTAATAAAGGTTATTTTATTCTTATAAATAGGAATTCTCGGTAATCTTGTAAAAATCTTAAATACTTTATTATGAATGTTGTGAAGACTAAATCAAACCGGCCGGTGTAACCAAAAACCAGACCCCAATCTCAGGAATCGATTCTAGAATATATGGTTATATATATATTAATAGAATTATCACTAGATCATCTCTATTTACTGGTTATAATGCTTTTTAATTAATAAATTTATTGTGCAATATTAAGAGAATATGATATATTTATAAAGGGTTTATTCTGTTGTTATTTCATATGATATAAAGTTACGTCATGTTACTTCAAATTATGTCGTTTTAGGAATTAAGGAAATTAAAAAAAAATATTTTCATAAAATTTATATAATAAATAAACAAACAAAAATATTAAAACACTTTTTCTTAATATCCCTATCTTCCAAAATAATATAATTTTGAGATGAGATAACTTAACTTTATTTCATATGAAGAAACAATAAATCTATTTATAAAATATCATGATGTTCACAACACTAAAGTTATTGCACATTAATGCAATACAAATATTAATAGTGGGACCTACCTTAAAAAAAAGAGAGGGTCCTTATAGAGAGAACCCTATGTATGAAAGTTAATTGACTGCAGGTTAATGCTGTTTCACCACGTGGCTGTGTTGCAAAATGTCAACAAACTCGGTATATATGTTCGAAGCTCAGTGTCGTTACTGTATCCAAGAATAGAAAATGATATATAATATCATTTAAGATTTGTTGTGACTCAACAAGAGTTTTAGACTATGAGTCTAAAAGACTTGAGTTTGAATCATGATAAACATATTTTGTGAGTAACGAAAAATTCTTTGCCTTCTCAATCCGCGAAAAGATATTAGTCCCATCTTATGTAGGGTGGGGATATATTTGGATTTACTAAAAAAAAAAGATTTGTTGCGTTCAAAAAATTATAATTATATATTTATAATATTAAAATTATTTTTTTCTCTCTTATATCATCCTACATCATTCTACAAGCCTCCGAAAAGTTAATTAGAAGAGAAAAAATAACTTTAAAATCATAACGATGTATTATTCATAATATATAATTATATTTTTAAAAAAAAATTATTTTAATATTATAATTATGTATTACTCATAATAATAATTATAATTTTTGTACCGTACCAACACATGCAGTCGTTGTACATCTGCTTTATCTATCCAATATA